CCGCGGGGCCCTAAGGATGGGGATGTAAAGCAGACGCTCGGCGGCCGCCCGACGTGAGTTAGCCATGTGTGGTAAGTCACACATGATGTCCCACATATTCCATGCAGATACACACCTACACGCCTCCATGCCACCCCTCCAAGTTGAGTTTACTTCCCATTTCAGACATCTGTAAGGCTGGCAAGGGGAGGGTGAGAGAGGCCCAGAGTTGTTCTGTTTCTTACTCACGTTCCACAAACACGAGCTCTCTCTCTCTCTCTCTCTTTTGCCTTTTCCTCCCTTTTCCGGCTCTGGTTGCATTGCATTGGTAGGCTGTGTGTGTGCGTCTTTTGACCGAGTAGGCAGGACTGCTGTGGAACCCAAGTCTTGGTTCGGTGGTCAGCACCAGACCAGCAGGAGAGATGTTGATTATGGTGGGTGGGCGGTGGTTACATGCAGGTCGTAAGGCTGGTGCGGCTCAAGTGAGATGTCCTCAATCAGGTTAGGCTCCGTGCTTTGCCAGAGCCAGGCAGCCATGAATTGGGAACATTTTGTGTGGTTGTTCCACATTTCCAAGCCTTCCTTGGACCATTTCAGCTTGTGCCTCGTGGCGTTGGGGGTTCACCAGGGACTTCGAAGTATGATGTACATAGTTGTACAGGTTCTAGCTAAGTACCTTTGTAGAATTTTGGGTGCAAGGGGTTCCGTAGGTCACGGGTGTGTAAGTCATAAATTGGCTAAGTAAAATAGGAAAATCTGGTTCATAGTCGACGTAGAGGCAGTGAGCGGATGTACACCAGCATGGTGCTAGACATGTCCTTCGTCCTGTCTTCAGGTGCTTCAGAAACCCGTTGTCTCCGTTTTATCCTCTTCTCGACTCCGATTCCATCAGCATGTCTCAACGGACGTTATCAGTACACCACTAGTGACAGCACATGAGCTTCTCATGATAGTCAGCCGGAAGTTGTTCCTCTGCACACCCTTCTCTGCGTTAATGAATGATCATATGCTCGGGTACCACCGGAAGAGGTATGTCCGCCGTCAAGTTTATCCCCGACCCCAGGAACCTTCCAGGTCTCTTCTGTTCCCATACCAGATCCTGCGTCCACAACAAATCGATGCCCACCGCCGCGAAGAGCCGGCGCGTCGGTTCCTCCAGTGCCGCAACCATGTTCTCATGCCCGGGCATTTCGTGCTCGCTCACCCCAATGTGGATGAGCTTGAGGTGAGGGAACCGGGTGGGTGCCACGTCTGCCAGGTATTTCAGCGTCCCTGATATTACATAATGAAGATATCGGATCCTAAAAATACGGATAGACGGCGGTAGCAGCGATGCCAGTCTCGCTTCGGGGGCATGGGGCGTGACAATGTCCCGGATCAACCGGCAGTCGAGTGAGAGATCCTCCAGAGCGCCGCATAATCTCAACCGTTCGCTGTGGCGGAACTTGACATCCCAAAGCTTCATGCCATGGTGCGGCTTGAGGTGGTAAGATATGTGAAGACTCTTGAGTCGGTTTTGCACCGGTTTGAGGGCCTTTCGCCAGGAGCAATCGTAGTTCTGGTTGGTGATTTCAAGGTGTTCAAGGCCAGGTAGACATGTCAACAGCTCCTCCAAATGAGGGTCCCGTATACCCGCGATTGATAGGCTCTTCAACTTTGTCAAAAAGTTCGTAGGGTTTTTGGTCGGAAGCGTGCCGCGCTGAAGAATCCAAAGACCTCCCGTGCTAGCATGGATAGATTCCACGTTTGGGAACATGTTCTGCATTCCGGCAAAATTAATATAGAGTGTGCATTGCCTGGATAGACCGACTATGACACCCAGACGACGGATCGAGGGCATTCTCAGCCCCAGCCAGCTTTTTTCGGGCCAGATAGGGTCGTGGTCACTGTAACTGACGAGAAGACTTTGCAAACGAGGACAGGACTGGACAGCCGCTATCAAATCCGGGACCTCGCCTTCCAGCTTGCTATAGTCCTTTATTGGCATCGGTGGCTGTGGCTTCCCTAAGTGTTCAGTGTATAATGTGCTGGCAGCTTCCCATACTTCGGGGGGCACTTCTGAATCCGACACACTGCTGTCGGAGCTGGAGGAGTCCGGTGATGTTAGGCGATAATTGACTTCCAGGTCCCAGCTTGCAACCTGTATAGCATCAACGTAAGAGGCCAAGTCAGGTCGCTGTCGGATGGTACGGGTGAATTCCTGAACCAGGTTCGGCTCGTGAGTTTTTCTGACGGGCCTTTGCCTGGTAATAACTGTCTGTCGAAGATGCATGTTTCCCGTCGCATAATAGTGGTACAAGATCGGATAGCCTACCGCAGATATGCGCCTTGAAGTTCTGCAAAGGAAAGCTAATGCTCTCTTGTCGTCCCGGATCTCTTGTGTATCTGCGTGAGGGAAGCCGGTGGGGTCGCGGCAATGCATGCAGAGGTAACTCAGGGTCATTTGAAGGACTTCGATAGGTAGAGACTCCATGGCGTAAAACTTCCATTCGTCGCGGTGCAAAGAAGACAGTCAAGGTCAAGAGAGGTGATACGGCTCGTGGAAGTGGAAGAGAAATTCTGAAGAGAAAAAGAGAAAGAGAAGAAGGACGAGATACGGGCGAAACTCCTGACCCAGTAACCGTACGGCACAGGTACCCGGCTCCATATTGACGGCTCAGCATTGTGTTGGAGCATTCTGTTGTTGGCGTTGGTTATTCTTTGTTTGTTGGTTGTCACTGGGCAAATAAGATTAAGCGCCCGGATTGGAAGGACGAGGACGAGGACGAGCCGTCGCTATCGCACCTCTATCTGAGGCACCGTATTTTCTGTTACTCTATACTTCATACATTTTCAACACCATCGTCACTTGAAGTGTCCTACACGATGGTGGTTAATTTGGGCTGATGTTCGATGGTAGTTGAATGTAGTCGGGAAGGATTTGGGTTCTAACAACTGGAGGCCAAGACGTTGGAGGGAGGATTGGATGGGCCGCATAGAAGGTCCGGGCGCCGGCCCCTAGCAAGGACCTGCCTCCTTCCGTTGCAAAGTGCGAACCTCTATTGTGCCTGCCCGCCTGGGGGCCGCAAAGCTCAGACCTTTTGCTGCCCACGTTCTCCTTAGTCATCTACTCCGTACCCGTAGTGTAGGTATCCACGTACCTCATGGGTGGGAGTAAACTCAAGAAAGGCAGGCCTGATGGCCCCCAACTTGAACTCCCATCCCAACAGGCAATGGGTGAAATGTCGCACGTGGCTTTGAGCGCACCCGGGCACTGCAACTTCAAAGTCCCTTAGGCAGCTGCTTCATGAATGTATCTTTGAACAGCCCCTTTTGGACCCCAACATCCCGGCTGCACCCCCGTTCATCTCGTCCCAACTTACGTCTTCAACAACGACATCTCGTCGAAAGCAGCATCTGCAACCATCTTATCAGAGGAAATGCCAACGTGTCGGCACTCAAAAAAGTTTCACGGGAACTACAGAGACCAGTCTGCCTATTGAAAAGCCTGGTTTAGACTTGGCAACAGGGCTCAAGGAACTATTGCGCTGCATCCGCTGACTCACAGTGGTTTCTATTATTTCGCGTCGGTCGAAGGATCATGGGCCTGCAAATGAGTACACCTCTTTGCCCGAAACACGAACCTTACGGTAATAGCAGTCGTATCCTGTCATATCCATCGCCCAACGCTGTCGATGCGATGCACCTATGCAATCACAATTGCCAATGACTTCACACTTCGGTCTTGTCCGATCCCTGATGCGCCCTAGGCCGTCTTGAGCATACTCGGCCAACCAGGACCACATCTGTTTTGGCATCACGGAACAGACAGGATGACTACAGCAACCACTCGATGCCTTGTCGTTTGAGGCCAAAGGATCTTAGGTCATCTCCAGATGCGGACCAGCACCGCCTTCTGCCGTCTCTCCGGGTGCTCCGCGGGGCCCCCACGGAGCCAAGGCAGTCATTTGCTGCGAGCACTGAGCGGAGTTTCCGGCATCATCCATCTTTCCGCGTCCACGCCCGTCTTTCAATGCCCGTCGCTTCGCGATGCCATGCGTTCGTCGTCACATGAGATGCCTCACAAGGCGATTCCATATCCAGGTACCTACGACACCGGTGACTCTTTCGCCTGCTCACCTGCAGTGTAGATCACTGTCGAGGGAACAACCGCCGGTGTCTTACCAATGACGGGACCAACGGCCATGAGCGGCCCGTCCGTTCCTCACCGACCATAGGACTCAAACACCGAGCAACTCCGGAGCTTTGTAATGGCTACGCCTATCCAAAGGTAGAGACTTACGGGCACCGCCGGAGGCAGTCGCAACCTTCACTGCAATCAACGAATCAAGATTGCACGGGTGACCGTTAAGCTGGCTGAGGCGGTTAGATCATTCCCTTGTCGTATCGGTCAGTTGCTCAATGGAGATGCGCTGGTTGACCTTATGTCAGCCTCCATCCCCCACCTTCGAGCGTCTTCAGTCCTCGCTGCTCAGAGACTCGAAAGAAGAAGAACATGTGCACAGCCTCGAAGATGCTGACAGAGACATGCCCTGTGGCTGCTACGCGATCTCATCCGGGCCGACCTGAGACGTCTCTCTAGGCAGGCTAGGCTGGTGCTTACTTTTCCTCTGCACAGGTGGTCCCCTTTGGACTACTCAGCCCTACACGTTCGACCTCTTCCCTGTCGGCGGTTCTCTCATTCGCCAAACAAGACTTGCTCACAATCTTTTCCTGTCTCTTTTAGCGCATCGACTAATCATGATGCACCAGTCCGTGTAACCAAAACCCGTCGCCTTGGATTTCGTCCCTGTCCCCCTTGTTTCCAAAAGTTCGGAGGACGAACCAGTGAGCCACACCCTTGGCCCTCTGACGACCAGAAACGGAAATGAACCATTGATATGACAGCCTATTGCGGAGCTGCTGGGTTACTTACAGGGAACTGACTTGAGAGCCACATCTGCCCAGATCACCGTAATCCAGGCCCGCGGCACTCCAGCGCATGGCGTTCCCCCCTCGCCTCGCACGTTGCATCTCACATCATGACGAGGAACCTTGCGAAGCCCACCATCACGTCGCCCGGGTTTCTGCTCTGCCGTATGCCGAGTGGTCTGCAGACCGACGACAGTGACACACACGCATACCACATGCGCGCGGGCGGCGGGCAGTGATGGATGCCGACTTGTTGACTTAACTTCGTTCATGTTACTCAGGGAAGAGGAAAGGTGTTACGATACTTCCTCGTACCTTAGTAGAAAGAAGGCTAAAGCGTGTCCTTCATGGGTCCTTTTTTTTTTTTTTTTTTTTCATTATCCGCCCCCCGGTCGTATTTCTTTGGTTGCCTTGGGTACATGTCATCGCCCTCCACATGGACCAAATTTGGAAAGCAAAAGGGCTGCCTAGAGAGAGTGAGACAGAGAAGCCGTAGGGGCCGTGCCGAAACTAGCATCGCAGGTATCTCAATCTCCCGCACAAGCCCAACGCCCCAACCCCAAGCCGTTGCGATACCCGTTTACCGGGCGTCCGCGCCTCCTCGCACGGAGGCTGAGATGCCAAGTCGAGGTACCAATGGCCGGGTTTCTCTTCTGCTGCCCCCCCTTGACCTGAGGTAAATCGTAAAGGTACGTAGGGCTGGGATCTCACTCCGTACCTGTCCAAGGTGCCTCACCCCTACACGATGAGCTTCATCAACGCCCGCCCCCGTCTCTCGATATGAGAGAGAATATGGATGCCTTGAGGCCTATATAAACTCCTTGATATATCCCCATCTGAGGCAGGAATATAGTCCATCATCACACTCACAATCCAGCATCACAAGCCTAGACACAGCTCTCATACAACCCCAAAACAATCTCAAGTCTCCTCTCTTATACAAACAAACACCAACCACTTACACCATCAACAACCCATCTACCTCCCCTTCCACCAAAAACTCAAATTACTCCATCCTACACAAAACCCACAAATCCAACCACAATGGCCGCCTTCACTCTCATGTTCACTCCCGCCACTGCCGTCTACGGACGCTCAGGCTACAACAAGGACGGCGACGACGAGGAGAAGAACGACCGCGGCCGCTCCGGATACAACAAGGACGGCGATGACGACGAAGAGGGCCAGAACAAGGGCCGCTCCGGCTACAATAAGGATGGCGACGACGAGGAGGACAAATAAGCGTCTCACCACGCCTTTGCGCACATCTCCTTCTCCTGGGTTCCTTGGTCCCACGAGGACTCGGTTACCGGCTTTGCATCCTTCAATCATCCTGCTGCGGCTAGCTATCAAGCTTTGATGTCTTGTGTAAGACAACGGGCTCGGCCGCATCAGACATGCGAGCTCGACATTTCCTATTCTATCAGCATTAGACCGGCGTTTACATCACTTGCATCCGTCCGCCCACCCCGCCCTTCCTTTCCCTTGCGCGAGCAGGGGAGGTCGGGTTCACAAGGGTGCTGGCGGCGGCGTTCCATCTTCTTCTTTTCTTATCTCATGCATTGGGCCGGAGTTTGGGGTAGATGGTAGCATCGCGACGGATTACACTCCTTCTTTTTCTCCCTCTACTTTGATTGGATTTGGGACTGCATAGCAAGCATGGCACGCCTCTTTTCAAAGAGGAATGGTTTCTTTTGTCGCATTGGGCCGGCGTTGACGGGTTTGATTCGCATCTCCCTCCTTCTCTTCTTCTCTCTCCTCTACTTCTCCTATGTCTTCGACAGATTAGATTTAGATATATGAGGACTTCACCGTCCGGTAGTATAATCACTACTTCCCTACACAAAACCTAAGAACGCCAAAATGTGTTAGTGAAATGTGCCATAGTAATAACATAACAAAAAAACTGAGAAACAAAAGAGTGAGTACTCACTTTTCGAAAATCACACCGAGAACCTCCTCCACATCCCCGGCCTCGACGCGCCCCGTAATCTTGGCAAGACTATCTGCTGCATAGCGCAGGTGTTCCGCGGCTAGGACAATATCAGGTTCCTCGCCATCTCCTGTCTCTCCTCCTTCTTCTTCGGAGTGCGCGACGGCCATGAACTCGTCCAGGAACCCGCGACACTGCTCGAGCAACTGCGCCTGCCTGGCTGTCACGCCCAGCAGGTCTTGCTGGTCCACGGGGAGGGCCGTCATACCGGCGAAGGAATCGACGAGGCGGTCGATGAGCCCGTGGATTGCGCCCGGGTCTTTTTGACCGGCGCCGGCGCTGGTAGGGGAGGCGGACTTGGCTTGCGCTTCGGCTTCGCGGCAGGAGATGGTGAGGATATCCGCTGTGCGGAGATTTGGTATCTGAGAGGTTGTTTCGTTTCTGAAGCGCTCGAGGAGGCTGGAGAAGGTGGCTACGTCGACGGCGTCGCGCTTGTTGACCACGATCAGGCAGGCCTGCGCCTCGGACGCTAGTTGTAGTGTCTCCGCGTCGTAGTTGATGCGGAAGCCGCCGTCGGGGCCGGGGCTGGGCTCGACGGCCGCTAAGACGATAATGATGTCGGATTCCGAGGCCTTTTGCTTCGCCCGCCGGATACCTTCCTCTTCAACCAGACCCAACGCAGGTTCAGAGGGACCGCCGCCACCACCACCGGCAGCAAGCCTCGTCCTGATGCCAGCCGTATCCGCAAAGGAGCAAAGGTACCCCCGGATATCGAGACTGACCTCGACAACATCCCGCGTCGTGCCAGCCTCCATCGAGACAATGGACGCCTCCCTCCCAACAATAAGGTTCATCAGCGAGCTCTTGCCGACATTGGGCGGGCCGAGCAGCGCGATGCGGATGCCGTTTCGGAGGAGCTCGCTGCGCTGGCCCGCGCGCTCGTGGACACCGATGCGATGCCGCATGTCGGCGACGAGCGCGCTGACGTTGCTCATCAGCTCCGCGGGGGACTCGTCAAAGTGCTGATCCTCTGAAAAGTCGATGAGGGCTTCGATTTCACCCCTGGCTAGGAGAAGCTGCTCGCGCCAGGCTTCGTAGGTCCGCCCGAGACTGCCCGAGCTGCCGCGCACGGCGGCGCGACGCTGTTGCTCCGTGTCGGCGGAGAGGGTGTCGCCCAGGGACTCCACCTGTGCGAGGTCGAGTCTGTCGTTGAGGAAGGCTCGTTTGGTGAACTCGCCTGGTTCGGCGTAGCGGATGACACTGATGCTGCTTTCGGAAGCGGAGGCGCATCGTGGGATCGCGGCGAGGACTGCCTTGACTGTTGCAGAGCCGCCGTGAACGTGTAGTTCTAGGACGTCTTCTCCAGTCACCGTTTTGGGACCAGGGAAGTACAGCACCAAGGCGTTTGAATCCAAGATTGGTGCCTCCTCGCCGGCTTGTCTGTCTACGAGGGTTCTGACTGATGCATATCGAGGTTTTGGCAATGCCTTGTTTGGGCATAGGCCTTTGTAGACCTGGATTTTGGTTTCAGTGTCGAGATCTAACGAGATTTGCTGGAAATGCTCTCACATCTGTACATCCGGGACCAGACACGCGTATTACGGCGATGCCGGCCCGGCCTTGTGCTGTCGACAAGGCATAGATGGTGTCTTCCTTGAGAATGACCTCTGATGTCGATGTAAAGAACCGTGACTGAGTTCTCGTGTTTTGTGGTGTATCTCGTTGGTAGAAGAGGCCTAAAGCAGTTGATGGTAACGCCAGAGGCCGAACTCTCAATGAGCTGTAACCTCGATCACTAAGACATCTTCGAGAATGTAAGGGGAGGTTTCGGCCGAGGCTCCTCGTTGACCGAATGAGAGCATGCATGGACTAGTAAAACAGTGGACCGAAGGAAAAGAATGAAACTATTATGTGTAGGACGACTACATCCGCACTGCGATCAAAAATACATGGGTGTAATATTGTATGAGATGATGGTAACGAACTGTTCACTGAACGACTGAGCAGATCAGGTTGACGAAGTTCCAATTTGGGAGCTATTGCAATCTCAAGACGTTTGATTGGTCCGCCGGGCCGCTTTATCCCCGAGCTTATCGCGATAAGGCTCGTACCCCTGCAACTTGCCCGTTGGATGGAATTTTTTTTTGTAGCGTCGAGAGCGAGGAAAACCAACCTGGAAGCGCCCCGCCGCCTCGGTTTTCTTCCAGCACTCGACGAACGGCAAGGCCTCTTGACAACTCTCAACCTCGTCTATTTCCGCCCAAAACCGCCACAATGGCGTCCGACGAGATTATCTGGTGAGTCTTGGACTTATTGATTTAATTGCAGGCTTCAATTCTAATTCCCCCCGCCTTAGGCAAATCATCAACCAGCAGTTCTGCAGTTTCAAACTTTCCACAGAGAAGAAGCAGACGTTCTGCAGAAACGAGAACAATGTCACAGGTCTCTGCAACCGACAGTCATGCCCACTGGCAAACTCCCGCTATGCCACCGTTCGACGCGCTCCGAACAAGGACACGCTGTACCTTTACATGAAGACGATCGAACGTGCGCACATGCCCTCGAAGCTATGGGAGCGCATCAAGCTGCCCAATAACTACGCCAAGGCCCTGGAGATGCTCGATGACAAGCTCATTTACTGGCCCAAGTTCCTCATCCACAAGTGCAAGCAGCGTCTCACTCGTCTCACACAAGTCAACATTCGCATGCGCAAGATCGCCGCCGAGGAGGAGCGCATGGGCGAGAAGCTGGTACCGAAGATGGCGCCCAAGATCCGGCGCCGCGAGGAGGCCAGAGAGCGTAAGGCGGAGGCCGCCGCCAAGCTGGAGCGTACCATTGAGCGCGAGCTGGTCGAGAGATTACGCTCCGGCGCCTACGGCGACCAACCCCTCAACGTCAGCGAGTCGATCTGGAGGAAAGTTCTCAACTCCATGGAGAAGGAGGGCGCTGGCAAGCGTGATAAGGACATGGACCCCGGTATGGAGTCGGAGCAGGAGGGCGAGGAAGAGGACGAGTCCGAGGACGACTTGGAGAAGGAGGTCGAGTACGTCTCCGACATTGAGGAGAGTGATGAGGAGCTCGAGGACATTGAGGACTGGCTCCAGAGCGACGATGACGCCGAAGATGATAACGAGGAGGAGGAGGATGACGACTCTGAAGACAGCGACGAGGAGGCGGCTCGCAAGGCTGGCGACAAGCGGAAGCGCGGCCGGGCGGTGAAGATGAACCAGAAGAGGCTGAAGCAGAAGCAGGAGGAGCGCCCCAAGATTGCGGAGGAATTGACCTGGTGAGAGAGGCTCGCGTGGAATTCCAATGGCGTCTGGCGCGGATACCTTTACGGCTGATTACGGGACGGAAAATCAAAAATTGGGGGCATTGTGCATACCACCGTGTGCTGTGATATACCTTTATCAAATGGCTGTTTAATCTTACTGCCTTGTCGTTGTTTGCGTGCATGGTATATCGTGCTTGTCGTCTGTCTCATACCTTATTTCGCGTTTGCCTTATTCATACGCTCAGTACTTTTACTTCAATTATGTTCACTACAGGCCGTTTGAAATGAGAAGTCGCGCAATTAGGTGACTGCCTGGCAGCATGCGTGTTTGTGCCAATATCTGGTCCATACAAAATGTTCTATAGGTAAGGTTGGAGACTAAGGTGGGAGGTAACTTGCATGCGGCCTGGAGCAGTGATCCATGCTTCACCGAGACCTGTTCGAGCCGGGGCCTTTCGGTGAGGACAAAGCACCTCAATTAGTGCAAGTTCCTTTAGAACAATGCGGGTAGGCCCAGGCCCCACCACCCTGCATCATTCCGTCGGGCGACAAGTGTCGGACCCGTCAACCCAGGTCGCTTCCCATTCCCTATCATTCAAGACCGGCTTATTTGAAACGGACCACTTCAAGCAACCCTCCAAAATTAAAACAGCACAACGAAACCACCCGCCGGCCTTTTGGTATCCCAACTTCTCCTTTTTCTCACTAATCAACTTCGACAGCGAGCGAGCGATTTCAGACACGAATCCCGACGAATAGCTTTCGTGCCCCGGAGCAGAGCTCTTTACCCCAACCCGTCCGAAAACAGTCGAAAACAGCGCCTTTTGCCTTTCTGCCTTTGCCCCGCAGGATCCTCGCGGCAAGAAACAAGGCACGATGTCATCTTGGTACTCGAGGATCCTCACCAACACCACCTCTCAGATCTCGAACCTGCAGAGTCGTTTGTTGCAGAGCGAAAATGACGGCGACACGGAAGACGACACCCACGTGTGCAGAGTGCTTAGAGGCTACTACACCGAGAAGGGCCGTCCGTTCCCAGGCTGGCTGCCGCCCGACCCAAAGGCACCACCCCCAGCAACGCCCGTCTATGCCCAACCAGCCCAGCAAGTCGGCGCACGATACGGAGGTCTTCAGCAGCAACAGCAAGCTGGTCCTACGACTGGTTTGAGCTCTCTGTGGGATAACAACGGCGGCGCGCAACAGAGGCAAGACACGATGAGCCTGCGACAAGGTCGCGGAGCTCCCCCACCGATGCGAGGCGCCGAGCAGCAGCCCGCGCGACTGAGCCCCTTTGCCCGAGCCGGAGACAACGGACGCGAAGAGGTGCAGGCCCGACCTCTGCCCAGCCAGCGAGCGGGTAGCTACCAGCAGAGTGCGGCGTACGGGAGAGACACGACGAACACACCGCCGGGCAGCTCAGCGGGCGGCTCAGCACAGGATCGGCTTAAGCAGCGACTATGGGGAGGTGCGAGAACAACCAGTCCGGCATCTGGGGGCCAAGGACCATTCCAACCACCGACGGGCAGAGGCGGGAGCGGTGACTACGAAGACCGATTTGCTCCCGGCGGCATGTACGATGGGAATGGAGGCGGCGGTGGTGGTGGAGGTGGAGGCAGGCCATTTGTGGCATCCAACTCTCCGTGGTCGAACAACGATTCTGGCTATGGTGGAAGCGGCGGCGGCGGTGGTGGCAGTGGTGGGCGAACAGGACTGCCTGCTGGCCCAAGACGCCAAGGTCTCCCGAGTGGTCCTCGTATGAGATAAAGTGGACGAGATCAAGTGGTGCGCGAAACACGAGCGAGAATTCGCCTCGGGGATGCGAGGTCCTTGTTCGGGGGTTCTTCATTATGATGCGGGCGTTCACGGTCAAGATGCTTGTCGGGCCGGAGCCAAATTGTCGACAGTCGGCTTATTGTAAGGTTCTGCGGACCGTATGTAGACGGTGGGCGTCGCAGAACCTCGGAGCAAGGCAGAATGCGAATGTTGCTTGGAGACATGTATCTGGAAAGGTGCGAGAGCAGAGCTGAGGCACATACACACACACAATACAGACTCTACTAATCATGCATTTGGACTGAAGTCGCTGGTCTTGATGTATTGTTCGATCTGCTGGGCTTCATCAGAAGTTGCAACTATGTCGCAAGCCTCCGTCGTGATGGGATCCGCCTTGATGCGCGAAATAGTGAGCCCAAGTGAGTTACGGTATTCACACCTAGAAACTCGTAAAACGGAACGGCGAGTCCGCGATGAAGCTTCGTCTCGCGAGGCCGAATCTGGCAACGATGGAGTGAGTTGCTTGCGCGTGCAATACGCAGCCTCGGAAGGACCAACCGGAGGCGCGAATGACGACGCATGCATGCTGCAGATGACATGGTTCACCTTGACGCGCGGGTAGCTGTACCACCGCACTACGCTAAAAGGCTGCCTAAATGGCGGTACAGATACAGTGGGAACAACCCCTCCGAGCGCATGGATGCAAGCTTTCGCAGCGGGGTGATTCAGTGACGGAAGTGGGTGGCCACGCCCCTCAGAGGGTGCGCGACGACTGCTAGGCTGTTCGCCCCCAACGTCCCATATCATTAGCCACAGTTCGCTCACATGCCACTTTCCCCGGATCATCCTTCTTGTTTCTCGCTCTTGTTACTTTATTTTCCTACCGGAAACTCTAACAGTTGAGCCATTGTCGCAATATTTCCGTTTCCTGAATAGCCTCACCCGAGACGACAGCAGGCCTCCGGAGCCGAAGCCTTCCGTACATCCCAGCTTACATTATCGACGGCGCACTGCATGATGACCTCAGACTCGGATCCCCCGTCGTCCGCCAACGCTCCACCACCGACGCGACCTCGTTCGCCCTCGGGGAGCTTCTATGCCCTCAGCGACGATGAGGAGGGGGACTACAACACAATCACGCACACAGAAACAGGGCGGGGCGTCAAGCTTCTCTTCTCTAAGAGCAAGGTATGTTGTAGAAACCGCTCTCGCCACCCCACACCTCAGAAAGACCGGAACTAACGGGAATGTTGCCATGCCGTAGGTCTATGTACACCCCACGCCATCTGCGAAAGATAATATCCCCGGTTACATAGCCTTACTTCAGCAAAAAGGAGGCTCCAGCGAACGACCGACTTCCTCCTCATCTCGAGACTCTCGCAACCCACCTCCCTCCAACCTGCTCCTAGCATGGCTTCCCGAAACCTCCCTCGGCGAATCCGAGAGTATTTACGTAAAGGTCGACCTCAGTGAAGGTGAATCGCCGCCTAAGCAGTCGTATCTGGTACCACCTCCGCCGACGGTCACATCCCACAGAGGCTCTGTAGGCACATATGCTTTCGCCATCCCCGTCAGCGCAATATACTCGCTTCTTGTGAGACCACCGAGTCTGGGCTGGTGGTTCGGCTCTTTGATCATCAACTCGAGGGCTGGCGACAGTTTTCCCGCGCTATTTTTCCACGACAGCGAATGTCAAAGCACGATCCTTAAGAGGAAGAGGCGGACGAGGGATAGCTTCGACCCATTCGGTGACCGGGGTGAGATGTTTTGGGGCGGTGATGAGGTCCTGCGATGGTTGCGGCGCTACGTTCCGATCGAGAGATCCGGCGCCGAGCCCAACATTTACCTGGTGGAGCCCTCGAAGGAGGACAGCGAGGCATTCAGTGGCAAGCTTACATCCAGTACGGCTCAGGCCGGCCAAAAAGATGGCACGGGAACTCGAACTGGCGGCGCTGGTCCCAGTGGTGACGTGCAGATGGATCCCTTTGTGAAGTTTGTCAAAGAAACTGGATGGAACATCATGGAGAAGTTCAGCAAGGTCACCACTTTCACCAGACGGGCTGCTCAAGACGTCATACAGAACCCGAATGTTCCGCCGCAAGTCAAGAGGCTTCTTCGCAACCCAGAGGTTCAGACTCTCCAAGATGAATTTGACAGCGCAAGGATATACCTGGCGCGCTGGGCCATGGGAATTGCCGAACAAAGTGAGCGAGATCGGAGCCAGAGAATATGGACTGCTAAGGAGGTCTTGGAGCTTGAGGACACCGATGTGGGGGAGTTTGAGCTCCTGGACGGCAGTAGCACCATGTCGTTGGAGGACAGAAGAAAGACGGTGACGTTGAAGGAATGGAACACGTTCTTTGACCCACGAACTGGAAGGCTATCCGTCACCGTTGACGAAGTCAAAGAACGGGTGTTTCACGGAGGACTGGACCCTGACGACGGTGTCAGAAAAGAGGCGTGGCTCTTTATCCTCGGGGTCCATGACTGGTATAGCACTGCGGAGGAGCGAAAAGCCCATCTCGCGTCCCTACGAGACGAATATGTCAAGTTGAAGGGCGCATGGTGGGAAAGACTGGTAGACTTGGGAGGCGAGGGTGAACAGGGCGAGTGGTGGCGTGAGCAGCGTGGGCGAATCGGTAAGTCTCTATAATATCTCTTCGCATCTTGCCGCGACTAACATCATGGCAGAAAAGGATGTCCACCGGACAGATCGCAATGTGCCCATCTTCGCTGGAGAAGACATCCCGCACCCCGATCCCGACTCCCCCTTTTCCGAGGTCGGCACCAATGTCCACCTCGAGCAGATGAAGGACATGCTCCTAACGTACAACGAGTACAATAAGGATCTCGGCTACGTGCAGGGCATGTCTGATCTCCTTGCTCCCATCTACGCCGTCATGCAGGACGATGCCATCGCCTTTTGGGGCTTCCAGCACTTCATGGACCGCATGGAGCGCAATTTCCTTCGAGATCAATCGGGTATGCGGTCTCAGCTGCTGACTCTTGACCATCTCGTTCAGTTCATGGACCCCAAGCTCTACGCTCACCTGCAGTCTGCGGATAGCACAAACTTTTTCTTCTTCTTCCGCATGTTGCTCGTCTGGTATAAACGGGAGTTCGAGTGGATGGACGTATTGCGTCTGTGGGAGACTTTGTGGACAGACTACTTGAGCAGCAGCTTCCACCTCTTTGTGGCGTTGGCCATCTTGGAGAAGCACCGCGACGTCATCATGACCCACCTGCAGCATTTTGACGAGGTGCTTAAATACGGTATGTGATCATCTGATATTTTTGTTAACTTTGTCATACTAATCTCGCACAGTCAACGAGCTTTCCAACACGATGGATCTTGACTCAACTCTCATTCGCGCGGAGGCGCTATTCCGCCGGTTTCACCGCTTGGTTGAGGCAGTCGACAAGAAGGGCAATTTCCCAGGACCGAGGATCCACGACACGGGATCTCCTTCAAAGTCGGCATCCACGGACAAAACTTCACAGGAGGGTCAAAGCAGCGCAGGCCCAGCATCGCCGCGCAAGGACAAGAGTAAGGCAACTGAAGAGCCCGAGGTCAAGAAAGTCATCACTCCGGAATTGAGAGAGCTGCTCAGCCGAAAGGTCGTGATCTTGCCGCGGAAAGAAGTAGCGAAGAAGGGCGACGGGCCCGGAAGGTCATGAAGAGCACACAAAGTAACACGAGGACATGACGGAAACAAAACAAGGTTTGCAAACGGGCGGGTCTGGCATTTTGGGCGTCTGGGCGTTGTGTCTGGACTAAATAGCGATCGGAGGTGAGAACACTTGCGCTGCAAACGTGTAAGATACGTCTTTCTTATCCCCTAATACACAATATTTTGTTGGCGGCACCTCCGAGAACCAAGATGAAGGTGACCTATACCCAGTCCCCGAGAAAAGAGGTGTGGTCAGAATCCCCACCTGTGACGCCGATGAGGGTCCCGGAAGCCCGGGTTCAACGATAGTTAAGGATGTCTTCTCCGGCTCAGCCCCTCCGAAGGGAGTCAGGGGCAGCGCAGCCGCAGCGCGGCCCCCCCCCCTCCCCCCGGACAACTTAAGATTCCGCCATCGTTTTGGGCAGGCAGGCAGTCAGAAGAGGGAATGCAAGGTTGTGGTATTGTTGGGTTGGGCTTTGCCACGTTCTCGCAGTCTGATCTAAGTGAACTTAGACCGTGTTGGGTGCATCGTTAGCCTCAATCCCGCAGGGTACGCGGTCAGCTTTTGGTGTTTTGGTTTTGGAGCTAGCATCGTTGTCCGACTTGTCCCTTCCCCCCTCCCCCTCACACCACTTTCCAATCCCTTTTGCTCTCCAAACTTGTGACCTCACCAGCTCCGTCTTGGCCTTCACGTCATGCGTTGGGCGAGGGAGTCCCGCTAGCAGTGGTCACCCGGGCAAGGAGACGGCCAAGGTAAGCTTTGGGGGGACATCAACAGAAGTTAACGGTACTGCCTCAGTCTAATGCGAGTTCAAGGAGAGAATGATTCTGGAATCGCTTGGAAGGGGGTGGGTGTAAGTAGAATAGCCACTGGAGACCTCCCTGTCTGTTTGTTATTTGGTGTGTGTATCTTGGGCTGCCTTTTGCCTTCTCACCTAAGTCAAGGTAAGGTAGTATAGAAGCCTGGGCCTACCACCCCCTTTTTCCCCGTTGCATTATTCTCGAGACATCACAAGGACAACTCACTCAACATATCAGCACTTGTTTGTTGGCGGCGTCACGTTCGGCACTCAGCTCCCCTCAGACATTTCAGCTCTCAGCCTACGACTGCAACTACAACTACACCTTCTCACACCCCTCTCTCACGATATTCCCTCGCCAACGCTCCCAAAACGAAGCAAGTTACCCGTAACCAAGCTTAAACAAACCACCGAAACCTGCTTCGATAACAACCAAAAAGACTAAAAAAGGAGGGGAAAGGGAGACTCGAGAAACAAGAAGAAGAACAGGCAACACTTCACCCTCTACATAACTATGCCCTCACATCACGGTGATCACGGCGGCCACGGCGGTCATGGCGGTCCGGCTGTCGCCGAGGTAGTCAAGGACCGGGCCTCCGTCGTTGTCAACGAGGTGTCCCGCGGGCCCGTCAACAACGAAATCATCGTCGCCAACCGAGAGCGAGACGTGGCTGTCGTGCCGGCGGGCGCGCAGGTCATCAACGAGGTCACCACCACCGAGGTGTTTCCTGGTCGTCCGGGGTACGGGTACGGATATGGGCCTGGACCGGCGGGGTATCAACTCTGCACGCAGTGTCGGCGTTGTAAGTACCACTTGTCTCCTGTAATTTCCTGTCGATTTCTCATCTACGAGCGTCATCATTCTCTCGCCCCCTGGATCTTGATGAACTGGGGGGTATTCCCCCTTTTTCGCCGACATACTCCCTCTTTCATGGTGACATCGCCTGCTTCTATAAGACAGCCGTCCTAACATAACATCATAGACTGGCACAACTCCTTCACGGAGACAGTCTGCTACCGCTGCCGCTCGTCCTACGGCTACCGAGACCGCTTCGACGACCGATTCAGCTACCGATCGGGATACAGCGGCTCGAGTTACGGCAGCTACGGGTCGGAGCGGTGCGCATACTGCGAGCGGCTGCGGTTTGAAGGGCCCGGGTACCACCACGGCGGCGTGAGCATCTGTCGGGACCGGTACGGCCGGCCTGCTCTGTGCAGACCGAGGCGGGTTCTGGTTGAGAAGAAGACTGTGAAGAAGTATTACTACTAAGGGGGGGAAGGGATGGAAACTTTGTCTTTCTGGATGGATGCTTTCTCTTTTGAGTATTGGGTTTTGAGGTTATACCTTGCCCTATCCGAGTTCATTTAGGCATGGCGGTTGATGGGGAGACATTTTCGTTTACTTGAGCATCATTTTCCTTTTTGTCTCATTCCTTTTCTTGCTTGTACAATTTCTCACTATGCTTTACGTCTTGGGAATATGATTGGAATATGGGGCTTGTCCGGAATTCTTCTCCCAACTACTCTTGGCCTTTTTGGCAAACGATCATCACTCCCGAGTGGACGTGATAGTTGCATAGACTTTTCATTTTCTTCAAACGCAAGTTTGTCTTTGTGCGTCATGTAAGGTAGCCAGCTCTTATCATCATAACCTAATGTCATCCAACCAAGATTGTCTCGGGCCTCTTGTCAGCATTCTCCAAACTCCTCAAGCAATAACCCACTTTCTACCTAACCGAGAGTGATCTCCTTCCACGACTTGCCCGGGTGAAAAGAAGCCACGTCAAAAGCCCGCCGGTACACCTTCGCCAGCCCAGCCCTCTCAGCAACACTGCGGTCCTTGTTCCAGGTGATGACGAACGCGTAGTACAGATGCCACTCGGACACCTCGCGGTCCTCGGGCACATAATAGTTCCAGGTATCCAGCTCCTCCATCGAAAAGTCCCTGGCGTCCGAGATAGCCGCGAGCTCGACGACGTCGCCCACGCGGGCGAACCACGTGTCTTCGAGGATCACAGTGCCGCACCAGTCGCCGTTGAGGTCGAGGAGGCCGAAGCGGTGGAGGCCCGCCTCGAGCTTCGAGGCAAAGGACGGGCTGCTGCGGCTCGTTCTGGAGAGCTGGAAGAAGGCGGTATAGGTCCAGAAGTAGAGGTAGTCTTCCCGCAGGATAGTTGTGGTGGGCATGGTTGGTTGGGGCTCGCGTGCGATCTCTGTTGGGTGCTCTTCGTCGCTCTGGCTACTCCGGCGACCGAAAGGAATGTCTTCTGCAGAGGCTCTGGCGTATCCGTGCCATCGGTTCGGATTGTGGTGGATTTCACCTGACGACCACACGACTTTAAAGGTTGGCTTTGTGTTGGGCTCGCCGGCTACCAGCGAACGATTCTCCGTTGGATCATCTTGTGCCATTCTATACCATACGACCCAAGTGTGCGACTTCAACCACTCGTGAAGATTTAACAAAATACCAGAGACCATGGATAGCCGCCACGTCGACGCACCATGCCAGCCACTCCACGACCAGCTGGGATACCGCGATCGACCACCCAAGTCTTCCAGCCTGAGGCCGGAAATCTTCTTCTCCCACAAGAGAGCAAAGTCGAAATAGGAGTCGGGCATCCCGTAAAAGAGGGTGGCGCGGAGCGGCGGAGACAAAATAGCCGCCATGCCCTCAAAGGCCGGCAACCGGTCGCCCTGATAGGTCATGAGCCTGCCGCTGAAGAGCTCGACGCACTCTAGGTACAGCCTGACCGGGTTCTTCTCAAACGACTTGAGCGGAGACCGGATCATTTCCAGCGTCCACGACGGGGCGAGCACCTCGGAAAAGACCTCCTCGGACCACGTCGCGTGGCGGCACTGGAAGAAGACGCGGTTCTCGACAAAGATCATGGACCGCTTGGACAGCATCCTCTCCTGGAACGTCCACGCCCTGCTGTTCCATATTGTGTTTTCGACGAGCCCCTCGACCGTCTTGGTGGTCACCAGGTCGATGCCATTGCACCGGACATTGGGCTGCCGGGCCTCGCGGGGCGTAGACGGCGACCCTGGTATGCCGTGATGAGAACCGCTGCCGGCGGCGGCGCAGATTGTGAGGACCGAGTGTCCGTATACGCGGTCCATCATCGGGACGACGCGGAGCTTCTCATCCTTGTCATCTTGAAGGATGCAGAGAGCGTCTACCCAGATATACTTGATACCCAACGCTTTGACTAGCATCATGGCATCGCGGACGGTATTCGGTATACCTGGCGTGTTGGGGCCGAGGGATCCCTTTGAAGAATACTCGGACACATTCTCCTTCGTCAGAATGAGAGGTTGGGTTCCACCCCATACGTAGCTCAGAGTCGCGTATTCAGTAATTTGAATACCGCCACGGGCGCTGGTGACGATTTTCTCCTCGTCCAAGTCGATGAACTTGAGGTTCTCGAGCAGCGAGAAGACTTCATCCGGCGGTGAGGGCTGACAGCCGCTGCCATGATGCGTCCTACAGATGTCGAGCCAGCGCCGGAGAAGACTTACGTCGGCCTGGTGAGGAGAAATCCGCCGGGCCAGGAAGGTCTTGTCCCATGTCGAGTGAGATTCCGTGGCCAGCAGCATGATGTAAGCCTCGGTGAAGATCTCGTCCGGGCTAAAGACCTTTAAGCGGCGAGTCGGCGGCGCATACGTATTGTCCCTCGGGCCCATAGGAGGCTCCAAGAGACGGCCATCCAGCTGCCACTCAACGGAGCAGCGGACCCGGCCGCCGTCCCTCGTAAGGCCGTCGTACCCGATTGCCTGGCGCACGTTGGGGCGGCTCCATTCGAAGCGATCCGCCCCTTCTTCGTTCGCAGCGTGTGTTGCATTGAAGAGGAGCCAGCACAGGGGACAGTCATCTCTTCTCCGGTAGATCTCGTCGAGATAGCCCAGCTCCCGCGGCTGTAGCCCGACGGGGTCGATTGGATGGGCGAGGAAGCCTGGGAGAGAACTGTCCTTGGGTTGGCCTGGCAGGAACTTCTCGGCTGAGAGATTGAGTTGACTGCACGTCTGGCATAAGTTGTCCAGAGGAGGAAGGCAATCTACCTGCTTCTTGGGTGCGCCGACAGCTGGCATGTTTGCTGACTTTGGTATCAGCCGTCTGCAAACGGTCTTCTGTGCTGGTACACGACACTGGAATCTTATTCGTTCCAGGCACTTGCTATCATCACACGATGTATTAATTTCGAGCAGGAGAGAATTCCGTAAAGAAGCCGCTTAGATGTCGCCGTAGTTCGACTCTTACAAAGGATGCGTACACACTCGCTCAAGGTGTGAGGCCAATGTTGAGCCATGAAGAGACGCCATCTCGCCTATCTTGCCCCGAGCAGCTAGCTTACAGAGCTGAATTCATGATTGCCTGTGATAGGCTGGCATCGGCATCAGGTTCCGCTTGCGCCAGTCACTCCGTCTGTACCTTGTGTCCAAATGGTCAGCGCTTGTCACGACGATACCACATTCAGCTGCAGCTCTGAGATTGTGAAGTTCATCCAGTGTGAGTACTGAGGTAGACGTGAGTGGAGTATCTGCGGAGCTCGGGCCTTCGACGTTGGACGGCCCCACATCATGAGATGATTGGAGGGGCAATGGACTGGACGACTTCAATGTAACTTTCTCTCAATTTGACCTTCAACCACGACATTGACGACCATACACGTACTTTGCTCATACATATTTGTGAAAGTATCTCAAACTTCTTATGCTTATATAATGAGAAAATCGAAATAAGACGGCACTCATCTCAGGAGGATAGCAACCACATCAAACACCACACCACAAAACCCCCTTCATCGACCGACAACCTCACATAAGCCGTTATCACATCCACATCAAGAGGTACGCCACACACCTCATACCACACAACCAACAATGTCAGATGATCTCAGAGACGAGATAGAAGCCCTCAACTCAATCTACGGAGACGACACCCTCCGCCACACACCACCAGACAACTATGTTCTCACGCTTCCCGGCGGCCCGGGTGCCTCCTCGCTCACCCTGCGCTTCGCCGACTCGTACCCGGACGTGCCGCCAGAGATCCTCGGCACCCACAGCGCGGGCGAGAACGCGCCCCGCGGCGCGGGCGCCCGCGACCTGCTCCTATTTCGCGAGGCCGTCGCCGCCGTCTACCAGCCGGGCGCTGTCTGCCTCTTTGACGCCGTGGAGGAGTTCTCCCGACGCGTGGAGGAAGTTTCAGAAGCTGAGCCGTCAGGACCACCCACCAAATCACACTCTCCACCGCCGTCGACATTGACGACACGGCTTGATGAAGAGCACGGGAACCAAGAAGCTGACTCTCTGCCTTCCTACATGCTAGAGGAACCCCCCTGGATCATCTCCGACCCCTTCGTCGAACTCAAATCCGTCTTCCTCGCGCGCGCCGCGGCCGTAACCTCCCCCGAGCAGGCCGCGTCGTACGTCCAGCACCTCATCGCGACGGACAAAAAGGTGCGCAGCGCAAGTCACAACATGACGGCGTGGCGGATCCGCGGGCCCAACGGCACGAGCTTCCAAGACTGCGACGACGACGGTGAGACGGCGGCGGGCGGAAGGCTGCTGCATTTGATGCAGCTCATGGACCTGTGGGACGTCATGGTCGTCGTAACGAGGTGGTACGGCGGGCAGAAGCTGGGGCCGAGGCGGTTCGCGCTGATTAATAGTACGGCGAGGGATGCGTTTGTCAAGGCTGGGTGGGCGGAGGAGGCGGGGCAGGGGAAGAAGAAGGGGCATGGCAAGTGAAGGAACTTGTTTGATGTAGGCCTCTCACAACGGGTAGCTTGTGTTTTCAAGTCTGGTCAAGGGATCAACGTACTTGGAACCGAGTGTCGAGTATCAGTTAAATCGAGTTTACGGAGGGCTCTTCACTCATAGACCACTTCTGGAAAGGGCATCACTGGAGAGCTATAAGACCTGCTGTATCAGAGAGGCATTGCAGAGGGCACCAAAGACGGGGTATCGAAGAGGAGGATATTTAATCGCTTCGGGTTGAGCTTTGAGACCGACATTGGTCCTCGTTCTCTCGCAAGATATACAAAAATTGGTATCGAACAACAGAGAGCCGCCCTCCGTAAAACGCCAATATGCCAAACCAAACTCGCGCGTGACGTGAATTTTCACCAAAAATGACAGATTGCCAACCCGCCTATACCAGTTCCATGCTAGTACAATCGTTTCCTTCATGCAACTTCGTTAAAGCTCGAAATGTGTGGAAAACTTATGATGTTCTTCCCGATTCTTTTACGTCAAATCGGACCTCCCTCCCTCTCCTGTCTGGCAGATATCTCCGCAGTACAGCTGCTTCCTCCTCCTGTAACGTACCATCAATGTCAAATCATGCCTTGAAGAGCTTGGGCTTGAGGATCTCGAGCGCGAGTATCGACTGCTCGCAATCGAGAATGACGGCGCCGGCCCGGGCGGTAGAGAGGTACGAGAGCCCTGCGCTGTCTCCCGTGCGCATATCCTGCACCAGGGTCCCCGCCACGCCGCAGACGATACCCGTAGCTTCGAGCGGCAGGCTCTCGAGGTCCAAGAAGATGGGCGTCAGGTTCGTCTTGGTGTCGCCGACAAGGGAGTCGCCAAAAAGGCCGAGCAGCGACTTGTCGAGCAGCAGGGAGGGCGGGTCCTCCTGGGCGAGGGTGATGGAGAGGAAGCGTGGACGCGCGGCCAGGGCGGAGATCATGGCGGTATAGAGCTTCGCGTCGATGTTGTCGAGCCAGGTTTGGCGGTGGCTGTTGCCGGTCACCTGGCGGCTGAGAGAGGGCCGCTGGGTGTGGGAGAGCTCGCCGCCGAGCTGCGAGGTCTCGCGGCCGGAGCACTGGACCAGGAGGAGGTTGTCCTCGACGTAGGGGGCGACGCTGCGCTTTTTGAGCAGGTCAAAAGTGCGGACTTGCAGCTCGGCGATGGTGGAGGGTGGCGGGGTCAGCGGGGGTGCGCCGGCGCCGTTGCCGTTGGTCTGGCTCGGTCCGCGTGAGTGTATCGAGGCGGCGGGGCTGACAAAGTTGGAGTCGTTGTCGGCGAGTTCGAAGCCGCGGGCGAGGAGGGCCTTTACGACCGTTTGCCTATCCTTGCTGGGGACGAGGATGAAGTCTGAGTAGTAGGTGGTGATGAAGAAGATGGGAATCCCGGCGAGGGCCAGAGGGGACGTCAATTCCATGACACGGCCGGCGGCGTCCATGCCGGCGCTGATGACAGAGAGCACGAGGTAGGTATCTTTGGATATTGATACAGATTTGGCCAAGTCTTTTGGGAGGTCCTGGATGGCTGGCTCAAAGACGTTCTTGGCCCAAGAGCTGTGGCAGACGATGGAGCACTCCATGGGGGTGACGCTAATGTTGAGGAAGCCATGTTGGCTTTCGGCGTTGAGACCTTCTAATTCATGTTCCGGCTCGCCTTTTGACGCCTTGAGGGTCTGGGTCTGTGGGAGGAGGACGCGGAGGATAGGCTGCAGGAGTACCGAATACAGGTCGAGGGGGATGTGGATGAGAGTGTAGTGGCCATCCTAAGGGAAGGGCGAAATGCGGTGTTAGTTGAGATGCACGATGGAGTCACAGAAGTCCTGCAAGGGCCAAGACATTTTGTGTGTCATTTTCTCTTTTAGCTCCGAGAGCAATGTGCAACTCGGGGCGGCGGCGACGGTGACGGACACAGCGTTGCAGTGAGACGAAGCAAATGGAGCCCCGCATTTTGGTGACTGTTTTGAGATTCGTTCCCGCGTTGCGGTCGTGTGTATGTGTCGTGTGCGCAGTGGGAAGATGGAGGGGGGGAATGAGTGACACAGGATGTTGGAGAAACTTACGAGAAACGAGACCTGGGCGTTCATTGTGACGCGCAAACTTCTGATGGCAGTTGGAGAGCCAGAAGAATGCTTTCCCGTGCGTCAAAGTTCTCTTGACGAGAAAAAGGGAAAAAGAAGAGGAAGAAGTAGTAGATTCGATGCGCCGGTGCACGGATGGTTTGTTGAAAGTTTGCGCGCGCACCGGGGATGATATCGGAGGGGGACGGGGCAACTAAGGCTATTTCTGCAGCCGGCTTCGGTTTGATCTATTCGTACGGAGTATACGCTGCTCGGGGGTTCGGGTGTCGTTGGAAGTTTCCTTGGTCACAACCGGCGGTGTCCGATGACTGCCTTTTCCTTCTTGTTTTTTGACCCTCTTAAAAGTTCAAGAGTCGTTGGAAAAGTTTAAGCTTTCGGTAGTCGTGGGTTGACAGGGGAGTCGTCTCTTGTTATCTCTCTTTCTCTGATGTTGTATTTTCCCTTGCGTCTGATTTACGGATGCTTTTTGCGGGGAAACAGATGCCTTGGTGGGATAAAATTGGAAGAAGAAGGGAAGCTGCCGTAAGGTAAGAGGAATGATGTAAGCTGGGACAATGAACAAAGTGAGAGAGGATCTCCAAAAGGGAAAAAGGAGGAAAATAGGAAGGGGGATGGGGAAAGGTTAAAAAGAAGTGCACGAGAGGAGACGTTGGAAGGGGAAAAGAGGAATTAGGTTCGTATGGAAGGACCCTGAAGACGAGCTACTGTCCAAGGTGGGCAGGGTAAGGCAAGGCAAGAAGCTGGTTGATTTGGGGGTTGCCTACTCCGTACCTACCTCTCCTACAAAGTACACCTATTTCTCACCTCAGGCTGGCCGTGATACATTGACAACCTAAGTGGGAGCCCAAATGAGGTGAGGGGAGGGGAGGGGAGGGGAGGGGTGGAGGGGTGTTCAAGAGAAGGAGGAGAAAGTACATGGGCCTTGTACGTAGCAGTGCGGCGTGGTGCTGCAGCAGCATCAGCAGCGTACTTTCTGCGGCGGCGGCGGCCGTCCCAAAAAGCGCACTAGAGCACGATCTGTGCGTCTGCATGCCGGCGAGTACGGTACCTATTTTACACAGCAAGATAAGCTGTGAGAACATGTCCTTTGCGCAGTATGTAGTAGGAAGGGCTGAGACGAGACGAGACGGAGCCAGATGGGCGCTACTGAGCATGGGGGTAAAAAAAAAAAAAAAAAAAAAACCGTGGGTTTTGTCCTGCTCACTTACTGCCCGCAGTTCATATTTTTTTGCCGCGTTGTTCCGGACCATTGGAGGGGGGTTGCAGATAAGGTGAGGTCCATAATGTCACAGTAGCGTTGAAACTTGAAAGCCTGTGCTTTTTGGGACCAGGGCAAGGGGGAGTGAGTGACGACGATTCGGTGATTTTGCGCCGAGATGGCGGATGGTATTTCGTGATTTAATTTCCTCATAACTTGTTGGTTTGGCGAAACATCATTTGTTGTGGCTATCACCGGTTCTGGGTTCGGGGATCGACCGCGTTCCCGCGAATGCATCGAGGGATCGTGACCCTCTGTGGAGATTGTCGAGTGGGAAATTCCGTCAAAGGTTGTGTCGTTTCCGTCCAGTCGCAGTTTTTGTTGCCGTACTCTCTTCTGGTACGACGATATCCTGTATAACTCACTTACATTGTCATTTCTCAGAAGACGGCCAGACTCGGTCAGTGCACCGGCAAAGGCCGAGTCTTGATCTGACGACATTGACTCCCCTTGGGGGCTATATCCGTATATCCCAATGTGATACATGAAAGAATCAATCATCCATGTTGTACTACATTACGTGCCTTGCGTGGGGTAACTCGTGAGAAGCTTAGCTCGTGCGTGGCTCTATGCGGACAATAGCATGTAGTGGAATGTATTGTCTCGAACTATGACGAGGACGGGGTGTTTTCACACGCAATTGTCTTGAACCCAAAACCCACGCGGCTACCCATCATCCAGAGCTACTAGGCGCAACCACCTATTGTTCGGTTGGTTCTGCACAGAGGTCGGAGGGGGAAAGGGTGTGGGCGGAGATGGGCAGCATGACATGGCGGGGTTGAGCAGGGGTTCAAGGAAGTACAAGGTTTTTGAAAGACCCATGATTACATCTTTTGGAAAGTGGGCGTCTACAAAGTATGGCCAGCCTGTGTCTCCTCTAGGCCGCCGCCGCCGCTGTCGCCGCGTCCACGGCGAATAAGACCGAAATGGGTGAAGCGGGTGGGGGGGTTCGTGATGGTATGCCTTTTTTGCTGGCGGTTTCACGGAGATCTCCTTCTATTCAGATCTCGTCTCACATTGTCTTCTGTCTTTTCTTATCTGATTGCGGGTGTTGCGTCAAAAGCCAAAGAGACGCGCTTCCATCGGGCATCGGCGGCGCTTTCTCGCGATTTCTACCCTCGGTCGTGAGGAAGTGAAGGGAAAAGCGCGGTTCGGCGGGCGCTCTTGAGTCAGGTAGGCAGATGGGCCTCGGGAAGGGGTCCCTCTTTCTCCATTCCAAACATGGAAAACCCCGTGTAAGTCGACAGTTGAGCCGCTGCCAATCGTCTCCCCACTATCAGAAAACCTAACCCTCGCGTTCCCGTTTTTTTTTTGTTCTCTTTTTAAACTATAGTCCTTGACATCTGAACGGGATGTTGCGACACTGGTGACTTGAAATGGCTAACAAAAGTGTAAAATTGTGTCACCAATGAATGATTAGACTGGGCTTTTGCCGCGCCATGCTGGCTTTGCATCTCGCCATCCATCGCGACACCTGGACCGTGGCCTCCATGTCCATGTCGTGAGTCTTTCAGGGTTGGCATGGGGCAGACGGGCACACGAGCGGTTAAGATGACTACAAGTACTCTTGAAGTCTTTTCCTCACCTTGGCTTGCTCTAGCTGCCTACCTACCCTACCGAAGGCTGCCCAAAGGACGAACGACAGCAAGGCAGTACATGAAGAGGAAGCGGCCGGGGCTGGGAGCAAGACTGCAGTCTGCAGAGGGAAAAAGGTTCAGAATGCCGTTTCGGGCGACGTGCATAAGACTAGTTGAATCGGGAGCGTGGGGGTCTCGAACTCTGGGCAGTTCTCCGGTACTTTACTACTTTGTAGTTCGCGTAGTAGCCGAGATGCCTGCTTTCTTCTTGCTTTAGCTCGTTGCCAGCGGCTACAGAACCCCAGAGAATCTCTTCTTGGCCCTGGATCAAAAGCAGGAGTATCCGTACTCTGAATGTGAACACGGCATTGCTAGCCTCTGAGTCCACGGACAGACAGGATGGGAGAAACAAGGCACGGAAAACCTGCATTGGACCATGACATTTGGGGAACGACTGGGGAAGTCGCTTACATCTTGTGTAACTCGTGAGGCAGTCACGTTTATTTCCCACTTCCCCTTTCGGTTCTAACTTCTCACCCTCTATCACTCTGTGCCTCCCCCAAAACAAACCGTGAGGGAAATGATGTCAGACGACGAGGTGCCCTGTCTTCCAGGTTGCTTTGTAAGGTAGGCAAGGGATGATGATCTTGGATGGATGGATGCATCGGCCACTTGTCCGTGCTCTTGACCTCACTTCACCTCACCTCAAAGGCTCAACTTGGGGTCTGCTGCTACCTCGCCCGTCACCTCTCACATATCAACTCTCACCACCACACGGGAAGCAACGCTGACGGGCGTCTCTCCCACGGATACTGTTCCAACACACGCACATGAGTTGCCCAATTGCCTGGTTCAGCATAACAGCGGCTGGCCTCGGCATGCGCATCGACTCGCTGGTTCGATTCAAAGACACGAAAGAAAAGGGCCATCAAAATTGTTTAACCCCCGCGGGGGTTTCACGACAACCGCGCTTTTGAGTATCCGTATGCTCAATCGGGACTACACGTCAGGTCACGGAACAGGTTCTTGGTGATGGTCCTTGACAATGACACGTCTGCAGACACCGGCACTCACGGCAGTTGCGGATTTGATCCTCTCAGCTGAACCTCTCAATACGCGCGTATGCTCAATCAACACCCTGTGCTTACCTATTCGCTCGAATACGCTACCTACTTCAGCTTCGCAATAGCGATCCTCAGCTTCATCATCCCACCTCATCTCCAACGCCATTGCGTCAGACCAGTAGATTCAGCCAGCCCACGGTGCGTGCCTGTATGGCGGCCCCGCGAGAAGAGGGAGGAAAAAGCAATTCTTCGTTTCCTTTCCCCCCCAGGTCCGACATGGACCATGGACCAGACCCCCCGCCGATCGCAACGGTTCCTGAACCTTGTCCGAACCCTTTCCCTTCTGGTCGTGCAACTGGCTCAATTGGCCTCTCTGATTTGCTTCGAAATCGGCGCTCCATGCACAAAGTCATCGGGGTTAAACAAAGAAACATGGGTTCCCTCCACTGGGATTTCACTAATACCTGGTCCAATACCTGTAGGTACTGCGTCAAACCCCCTTGCTAATAGGAAAGCTGCTTTCTGCTACTGCAAGATGCCGTGGCAGCTACGACGTCCGGGTTTCCCATTATCGACAAGCCGGGCCAAGGAGGAACGACAGGTGTTTGGGATGGACAGGTCCTTGGGAAGAATACAGCCTGCCGGCGAGCGCCCACGGCTCCAATTAGACGGCGCAACTCTCGGTCAACTTGTGAGGGCGCATGGAGAACCCCGCTCCTCTCGGCCAGCGATTCCACTGCCCGCCCCCATCCTACTCTTCCTACTCCCCTCCCGCAACCCGGCCGCTGCATCCAGACCAAGCTCGCAACCCCCCCATCCCAGAGCTGCAACCTGGGATCCGATCCCTTCAGCAACCGCGTCCAAATGTCACCCTCCCAGCACCAAGTCTGCGAAGACCCTCGGCTGGCCGCTTCTAAGCGTCCTGTTGCTGCCACAGCCGGTCATGGACCCCCAAACCGACGTCCTGGGGAGGTCGGGAAACCTGACTCGCCAAAGAAGCATGGGTTGGCGACGTCGCGACGACGACGACCGACAGTTTGACTTGTGACACCTCCTCGCTCTACTAGCAATGCGTCTATGGAGTAGATCGGCCCAGCTTGGTGCCCCGAACACTCGGTCGCGGCTTACACTACATGCAGATGGGAGGTATTGGCAGGTACAGCACGTCGGTCATCGTCACCGCGCACACCGATGACAGCATCGCACACCTTTTCGGGAAGACCTTGGATCATCATTCACGAGTTGAGTATCATATGTTCAAGTGACGAAACGTGGCGGATTGAACATGATCTCACAGAGCAAAAGGCAACAGGCGGTTTACAGGGTTTACCACTGAGCGGAATACCTCTGCTCTCGCTCAATTGCCCCATTCGGCATTGTCTGCATCGCCGGCGTGGGATGCTCAGTTCTCACGAGAGCACTTTAGCCTCTCAAGCTGACAACACCAAGGAAGGCAAGGCAAAAATCCTCAATGTGCCCACTTGACTGGAGACAGGTGGTACTCACCGGTCTGCCGCGATCCATCATCTGGCCGGAGCTTCGCCGAGGTCTCGACTCTTGACCTTTGGGCAGTGAGTCTTTTCCATTCTTTTGCTCTTCAATTTCTTCTGATCCAAGTCTCTGGAGAAATGCTACACCAATCATCTTCTTCCCTTTGTTTAGCCTTTGATCGTGCTTCCTCAAGTCTCCGATGGATCCCCCGGTTCGTCCGTGCTTTTTTCACTTATCTCTGGTGTTGCGGATCAGATCGTACCCGTTCCCAGATCCACAGATAGGGAACTCACCAAGGGCCTAAACGTTTTGGCGTTATCTCAGACTATGACTGTCTAGGCACCTGGTCCCTCGAATAGCGTCTGCCGACTTATACCTAGGCTCTGACCGACTATGGAGTAGACTCGGTAGCTTCAACGTCGGCGGGGCAAACAGCGGCTAATGAAGAATGCGAAGAAAATTCCGAAGCGTCGTTCGATATCGCGTGTACTGCAGTACGAGACGGGGTCTTTGGCGCGGTTATACTAAGCTGGCCCTCCTTGTTTTCTCATCGTCCACTCATACCACTGTTGTCGTTCCAACCCGCGGGTGAGACTGCCCACACTGTAAATCACCGAATGTTCACCGAGGCACACCTAACCTACCTCCAAGTCCCTTCTCATTGTTGTCACTGGTGTTTTACCCTATTGCAAGAAGCTTGCGGTTATTCTTGACTATACTGTCTAGCTATATTGGCCATGTGTCACTGCTGGCTAGTAGACCTACCATGGCTATCACTTAACCATAGAAGGGACCTATCACACTGCCGGTAGGGACGAAGGAAGGATATTGAAGCTGATATAAGACCGGGCAACTCTCGTAGTTCCTGGTTTGCTACCCTCTGCAATCGTGGATTCCTGTCCCCCAGTAAGAAATCGGCAATTATCACCAGAGAATAGTTGCTTATAGAAGTATCAATGGTAGTGGTAGCGACAGTAATAATTAGCTATAGATCTGGCTGGTATTCGCACGCAGTCAATGAAGCTAAGTCTATACAGTCGACATAACCGGTCTCTTGTGCGGAGGAAATGTATAAGTGCCACAACCCAACAGGCCTCGAGCCGTTTACAACCACTGTCAAACCTGCTTTAGATCATGATATAACCACTACGATAAAGAGTAGATTGTGGCGATCGTCGCCCACTTGAACACTGGGCTATTTGAGTTTCGTTTAGGTATATTCATCGCCGTCTGAAAATCTGACACTATACGAAAAGCCCTCTGCGTTTAGCAAGTGTTGGGGCACATCGTGACATAATGTGTATCAAAATAAAGTTTCAAAATCAGTGAGGTCGCTCTTGAACATTCTATTCCCCGTTCATGTTCTTACAAAAGTTTACACACCTGTACCTCAGCTATGGCCAGTTCCGTCTACTTCCCGTCGCGATCAGAGATGGCTTGGTAGACGCCCTCACTAACTGAGATTCTTGTAGGTATAGGGTGTTTGTGAAAGAAGATTGATTGGAAATTCAGGAGATGACTTTGATGGGAAATCGGAAAATGAAAGTTGAGGACTAGACGAGGTTGACAAGAGCTTCATGTATCGGTTCTCTCGTTGAGTGCACTTGGCGTAGCCGTATACAAGGATGATGGACCTTTCTCAGTCGCAGAGGATTGATTGTGAGCCCTGGTCGCAGTTATCTCATATATCTGCGTATAACGACACTCCCAGCCCACCACTATGCGGCTAGAACGAAGTTAAGTCAGGTGGAACTCAGTTGTCAAGTGTAAGGCAGGCCAGTGGATGGACGCGAGCCAGACCGCCTGAAAACAGCGAAAAGTAAGACCTTTCGGCATGGCATACCAGTCATGGTTACCACAAGGCCCCTTGTAGCATGCCGAACAGGTACCGGTTGACCGTTAGAAGCTTTTATTGGAAAGCACAGGTGGACATATCTTCACATATTCTGACATTTGAGTGGGACAGAACAAGATCCGACTCAAAGCTTGGCGAGTTATAGATACTCCCCTCCGCGTTGAATGGAAACAGAGATTCTCAACATCATGTTTTGCCGTGTAGTCTAGAGCACAAGACTGCGAAACCTCGGCCCTGGTCGTAATATCCCCACACACTGGCTGGTCACTACCTTCAAATGAAAATTCGGATATACAGCTAGCCGCGTGTCTGAAGCCTTCAAGTCGAACCAAGACAGTCTTTCCAAAGACAGCAGCCTTTACTAATAATGCGAGCTAGAACGTGGGCCGTGGCTGGCTGGTCGACAGCCATGTGTGACTGTCTCTCACTTCCCCGCATTGCGAGCCGTACCGAAGTAGATGTAGTGTCACACTAACCTTTCTGGTAGTCGGACGTGATCGAACGGCTGAAAAGTCAAGCTTCAGCTGAATGGGATCACCGCAATTTGCCCAATCATCATCGTATACAGTGCTCAATATGCACATCGATTGCAAAGTATTCCTAACGCGTAATGTGGGTTCTTGATCGTTGCCACTGTCATCCGTTCCAATGATGGCTATGGGTCGAGCGAGGTGCGCCTTATCCTCTGGCCTTATCAATTTTAGCACGTTCGAATGACTAAAAGTGACAAACCCATATCCGCCGCACCTCAAGGATGACGGGGTCTGCGGATATTGGCAGGTGAGCTATCAGTGTCATGAATTTCGAGTGGGTGATTGACGAGATCTATTTCTGTAATTTTTGTTGCCAGTAATCATCGAATCGATGTTGCTATCGCCAACTAATCCAATATTTCAATATGCCATCGTTATGCCGTCTTCAACTATGCTTCCTACACCTCAAGTCGCTATATCGTATGTCGGTGGACGTCCATTCCTCAACCTACATACATAAGCTACCTTAGTGTCATGTTTCAACGTCGTAAGTTGCTATGGTAGTTAGGGAATGGCCGTGACCTGCTGTTATTTGGGAACTCTCAAATAAGGTACCGTAAAGAGATGAAGCGCATCTCTCAAGGGATGCATTCGGCGGGCTGTTGGTAGCCACACTGAATGGTGTCTTAATAAGGAGTGGCTAAGTATAACGCCTAGGTAAGTCGCACACGGAGTAAAGTCAACCTCGTTGGATAGGATCCCAAGAAGCGTTGTAAGCTTGCCAATGATTTCGTGAGCTCCGTGCGGGCAGAAATACCTCTCTGTTGATTGTGACTGTCGCTGCATATCGTGACCGCTGACCATGTTCCATCAACCCCCTCACAAAGCTTGTTGAAAGGAGCACACAACTACACTCTGCTTATAGACCAGTTGTAGCCTAGTAAAAGTCTTTCTGAGCTTCTGAGGCTAGCTGAACGCTTCATGATCAGACCACATGGCAGCCACAGAAAACTATCCAGACGGCCTCGCATGTCCTGACTGGTTTGACCTGTTGAATTTGATGACAATGTCTCAACGAACGCGGCCGCAATTCAGTTGTCACTTACCACCCGTCAATTGTGACAGTAGCCTGACGATCATCATAGATGGTTGCAGGCGCAATCAGAAGCCGGCCAGAGAGCCGTGACTTGTTCAGATTTGATGTAGAAGCTGAAAATAGTGGCTGGCTGATGCAAAATTCTCCGAGAACGGAGACTGACTACATCATATTTTCCACGAGCGGACTGTTATGAGAGCTCACAAGTTTCGGTGTTATGCTCAATTGACATTTCCCCCGCACTGTAGCAGGGTTTGGTAGCTCTGAAAGCCATACTCTACTTTGTCATATGCTCTTGCGATACATACATACATACATACATATATATAAATACGTTAAACCCTCTCGGTTGTTCATATATTTCCAGATTCCTTGACTCATTCAAAGTACAGTTCGCAGCCCTCGCAATACGCATCATACTACTACAACAAGCCTTACAAACATGACAAACACATACAACATTTCTGTTCTCAATAGGTCCGGGTCTGGATCGTCTGGATCTACTCAAGAATACACCATTAGCTACCCGGACGGAGCTTCAACTGGCACCAAGACATTTAAAGTCGACGTCAATGATTCCAAGCTCAAAACTTTTGACCTTGCGGCTACCCAAGGTAAGCTCAGAAATGTGCTACTAGAGCGACATTGATCATCTGACATAATTTCCAGTTCCCTTCGAAATCAAAGTAAACCCAGGAGGTAACCCACATGCCGCTTTCACTCTGGGCGTGAATGGAGCTGGTAGAACGGCAAACGTAACATCTCAGGAGAATGGTACCTTCGCAGTTGCGATTGTGTGAATTCTACGAAGTTGGGTCGGAACCAGGGCTGGAGAATGGGCTCGTTAGTTAAACTATGAGGAGAATTGTTAGCTTAGACATAAGCATCCGTTACCGTCCTTGCGCAAATGGTAGCTGCATGAACGAAGCCTGCGATAAGACCCTGGTGTCTGTATGTAATAATGTTGCGTGAGCGACGAGGTAGAACAACGTATAAAAGCCAATGCATCTCGCATCACTTCTCGAGCATAGGTCAAAAAATTATCAATGTCAAAGGGCAAGACTTGCGGCACGCTATGATAGTCCACATTCCTCGACCATCACAAATGGTAACAGCTATGAATCTCTGGCCCATTCAGGGTTTCTTAGGTCTGTCTAGGTAACTCGTCGTGGGGAATCCCTGCATGAATGATGCCTTACGAACAAAATGGCTGGGATTCTTGGCTCCGCTTGTTTTTCTTTTGCCTCCGAATGTGAGAAGACTTATGCCCGTCACTTGACTTGTCATTACCACACAACTGACGGAAGTGATGCATGACATCGACTCACTCGGCGCGCATAGCGACGTCCGCGAATTGTCCGCTTACCGCAGTACCTGACTATACGGACGCGGCATGAGCCTTATGTTGTATATTCCCTTGCCGGCGTCGGCCGTGTACCGAGGTCCAATGGGTATATCTCCGAAAGCTGTTGAACAACGCGCACGATGTCGTTGCGGTGCTGACTGAGAGGTACAGATCTGGGGATGGAGAATAGGCTTATGTCTTCTTGGTCTTTCCCCGTGGACATACCAAGCTCCTGCCGAGACGGTAGTGCGCGGCCATTGATGGGTGACGGTGTCACATGCAATTGCCCCCGAGCGAGTCCTTCGGTCCTGGTCGGCCACTTTCCCGCAGTCTTTGATGCTCTTGCTCAAGGCAATTCCCGCCGAGAATGTATGTCTCCATAAGAACCGGTCACAGAGAGCATTATAGCCATACCCGGTGTATGGCAGACCTTATTCCAGGTAGAGATGACGGCATCATCCCCTCGGTTTCCCTTGCTTATTTCTTGATACCCACGACCACCATATTCCTCGGGCTCTCGGCGTAATCAAACACGGTCTCAACCCAGCAGTCCCGGACGAGGTCGTCGTGCTCCTTCAAAAACAGCCAGCGGTCCGTGACGATGAGGGACTCGACGACAGTGGCGCTGAAGGCCATGAGACTCCACACAGCCGCGACCTCCTTCTTACGGGAGGCGTACTCCTTTTCGTACACTTCAATCTCCTCGTCCGTCATATTCGCCATCTTGTCGCGGATTACGTCACTGTATTGGCTGTACTCTCGGTTCGTCGTCAGCTTGGCTACCGCGCCGCGCACGTAGTCCTTGAGGGACTTGTAGCACGCTTTCCGGAGGGAGCCGATGATGACGGGGTTCGTGGAAGTGTTGAAGGGGGACTCCCTCTCCTCTTCCGTCTGGCCTGACGGTTCCTTGCCTTCTGTGCCGGTTTCGGCGGCAGCATCGCGGTGATAGACCTTTGAGATGACGCCGCGGTCGAGGAAAATCTTTTGCAGCACCGCGCGGAACAGGTGCCGCGTGAAGAAGTCGTCGCTCTCGGGCTGCGTCCAGTTTTGCGGCGCCTGGCACGCCATCATCCTCGCCGTGATGTTCATCCGCACACCGTGTCCCTTGTACCCGGAGAGCGTCTCACTCAGGGGAAACCCCTCCGGATCCCGTCGCGCCGACTCGCGCATGACGCGGCCGTTGAGCGCCTGAAGGCTGGGGCGGGCGTACCCGGCCACCTTGTAGGTCGGCGGGCCGAGCTTCTCCGTCAGCAGGTTGTAGCAGCAGCCCACGATAGCGACAGAGTGAATGGCCGGGTTCATGACGAGCGAGCGGATGCCGTAGTGAGAGAGATTTCCGCACGAGTGGATCGAGACGGCCATCATTTTGAGGTCCTGGGATGATTCCTCCGGGAGGACCTCCTTTTCGATGCGCCCGATGACTTCAGTCAGGTCGCCGCTCTCAAGCCTGCCGACCACGTACGAGACGGAACCCTTCCCCAGCGCGCGGTTATACCGCGGCTCGAGCTCCTTGATGGGCCTGAAATCAAAGTCCTCTGCTGCCGCTGCGGCGTCGGGCGAGGCTTTCGCGGGCGCCTTCTTGACAACGTCGGTGCCGAGCCTGTCAGCCTGCATCTGGAGCCACAACTTCTTGTTGCGCATGACGACCTCCTTGCTCGCCAGGCCGGAGAGCACGTCGAGTCCCTTTGCGCCGTCAATGTTGTGCTCGCGGCCCTCGACGGCGACGACGTGGCGGTTGTAAGGGGGCAGCGCGAGGGTGCGGCCGAGGTAGTTTTGGCCGCTACCGAAATCCACGAAGTGCGTCGTCTCTTTTCCCCAGCGGGAGGAGATTGAGCCGGCGAGGGAGTCGACGTAGCGCGCGAAATGGGCCACCTCGTGGACTTTTTTGGGCTTCATGCCGACGGCGACGGAGCGGGAGAGCTTTGGCGGGGGTTTACTCTCTGACGTGGTGGGCGAGAAGGTCCGGCGGAGGGAGAGCTTTCGGATGCTGCGAATGTAGTTCAGGAAACTCTCTGGCGGGGCGACTGACATGGTGTCTAATGGCAAGTTATCGAGGTCGTCTCGCATGAGGAGGTCTAGGAGGGCATCAGTGCCGTAAGAGAGGAGGAAGGGCTGCCATTCCTGGGGCAGGATCTGGGAGAAGAGGCCCCGTTCGTTTGTGAAGAAGTCGAGGACGTGGACGCCGCCGCATAGGATTTGAAAGATGTCTGTGGTTGTGGCGAAGTTGAGGAGCTCCTCGACGTAGGCTTCTGGCGAGGGGAACTCGTCTGAGCAGGGGAGAGGCTTTTCTGGTATCATCTTTTTTATTGTGTCTGAGGCACCCCTAAAAATGTGTGCTCTGTGTGCGCCGGGGACTTTCCCTCACTTGGCTGGTCAACAGATGTCTCAATTTACCGTAAGCTCAAAGAATGTGAGTAAGATTCAGTGAGTGGCTCAGTGAAAGATGGCGAGAGCTTCGTACGAAAGTGAGTGAGAGTGTGGAGTTGTGAATGGCGGTTGTGAAAATCCCACTTACATAAAATTGGTCAATGGAGGGGAATTTTTCTCGGTGAATGAGGGGCATACCGAGGGGTCGCGGAAGGGTCTTCGGTGACGTCTGATGTCTCGGTGAGGAATGCTCTGGACGTGCCGAAGAATCTCCGGAAGTACCTTACACTTCCCCCGAAGCAGCGACCACCAGTGACCTCCAAAAGTGGACACCTATGGAAGACGGGGACGGGAGGTAGCCATGCCCGTAAAGGTAGCTCGCACCCACCCGACCCGGCCGGCTGCCAGACGCGCAAACGTCATCCCCTGCCGCGTTTACCTAACAGGGTAGATTAACTACAGATCGCCAATTCCGCTCTCGACAACAGGCAATCCCTACTTCAATACCTTAGGACCAGGCCGCAACCTCTGGCTAGAAACCACCCCCTTCAAGAAGAGACCCTAATCCGCAAGCCAATGCATCCGCGGATGCGCCTTTCCAACCCATCGCCAGGATGATGTCCTCCGCCAACGAAGAGGATCCCTTCCTCCAAGTCCAACAGTACGCCATCACATCCCCCTCGCATCCCACCACAAATCACCATCCGTCCTTCCTCTAGCTATTGTACTTGAACCAAAACGATACTGACCAAGAACGCACTATAGAGACGTCCTCGCCCAACTAGACTCAACCAGACCCCTATTCACATCCTACCTCCGCATCCGCTCCCTCTCCACCTCCCCAACATCCCCCGAACTCGCCTCTGCCCGCGCCGACCTCGAATCCGCCCTCGCCTCCCTAGCCGAAGACCTCGCCGACCTCGTCGAGTCCGTCAAAGCCGTCGAATCCGACCCCACAGCCTTTGGCCTCTCCGGCCCAGAAATCACGCGACGCAAGAGGCTCGTACAAGATGTCGGCGGCGAAGTAGAAGACATGCGCGAGGAGCTCGCCAAAAAGCTTGGCGCAGCAGCAGCAGCAGCAGGAGGAGGAGGAGGAGGCAAGGGCAAATCCTCAGCAGCAAACTCGGACCTCCCCGACCCGAGCTCCTTCGCCATAGGCGACGGCCACCACGGAGACCATGACGACAACGACAACGACGACTACGCGGCCGAATTCGAGCAGCAGCAGCAGCTCGAGATGATGCGCGAGCAGGACGGCCACCTGGACGGCGTGTTCCGCACCGTAGGCAACCTGCGGCGGCAGGCCGACGACATGGGCCGCGAGCTCGAGGAGCAGAGGGAGATGCTCGAGGTCGTGGACGGCGTCGCGGACCGCGTGGGCGGGCGGCTGCAGACGGGCGTGGCGAAGCTGCAGTACGTGATGCGGCACAACGAGGACCGGCTGAGTAGCTGCTGCATTGCCGTGCTCATTTTTGTGCTCATCTTGTTGCTTATTTTGTTGTTGATTTTGTAAAAAGGGGGATGTTTGTTTGATGCCCGGCTGATCGACGACATGACGGTTGGAGGCATTTGGGGCATTATTAGAAGACGGCAAAAAGGGGAAGAATGATGGCGAAGAATCATTTCTGTTTGAATGGGGTTTTGGGAGTTTGTGGAGCGGGTTGGATTTCTTATCGATGAATCTTTGTGTTTTTACTACTTTGGAAGTCTTCATCAGGGGGCTATGATAGATCTCAGTCATCCAACTAACGATACGCAATGTCTAGAATACGTGTCTTTGTATCCTCTACCGCCAGACCGCCCCATATTGCTTCAATGGATGAACCAAACTAAAGTCTGGGTCTCGTGCCCATGGCAAGTCATTATGAATTCTTGCCGTTTTGGTTCTTTTGGTGTATAAGCATCCCCATGCCAGGATGTCCAGAAACGCCAGAGTATGTGTACCCCTTGAAAGCCATGCCCCAATGTCGGCAACCCATGCCTCTCATGTATGTGTACAAAAGGTAATTCGTCTACCTGTGGCTTTGCTTCCTCCACCTCGCTATCTATGCCACATCTAACCCAGAGTCTCGTCTCAAAACGTCACCCAGAACCTGCAACGCCTGCGCGGCCGTGGCCCCCGGGGGAGCTCTCTTAGGAAACTCCACCAATGCCATCCTGAGGGCCGCGACGGCGGCGTTGCCGTAAAAGTTGATGAAGCGCTGCTCATGGCCGTCAATCATGGACTTGAGCACCACGTACTGCGTATTGGAAACGAGCTGCGGCGGCGAGTTGACAATCTGCGCCATGGCCTTCCAGTAGTTTGTCGGCGGGTAAGGGTTCGTCTTGGACGCCTTGCTGAAATCCCGGAGCGCAATGGCCGCGAAGCCGGCGCCGAGGCCCGTCATCCTGTCGTTGTGCGCCTGCTCCGGCACCCAGTTGCCGTTCTCCTTCTTCCAGCCAATCGCTCTGCGGCCGCCCTCCGTCTTGTCGCTGCCTCTGGAGCCGAAGAGGACGGGACAGGCCACGCGGAATTTGGCGATGAGGATGTCAATCATGGAGCCGCCGCGCCAGTGGTAGTCCTTGTTGGAGAAGATTTGCGCTGTCACGATGCCGACTGGCTCGGCCGACTTTGGGTTTGCGCCTCCTTCATTGGAGAATTGCTGAATGATTGCCTTGGAGAGAATATTGAGGAGGTATATGAACAGGGCCGGTAGCTGTGGGCCGTTGTTGACAGCGCCGTCGGCTGGCTCCCTGCTTTGCTGCACGTATATGCTTGCGTCGATGAGAGGAGACGGGACTTGGCCGCCGAGAGATTCGCGCAGTGCGGCATTGATCGTGGCAAGCTAAGACATCATTAGTACTTGCGTTGTGACACCAACGAGACCAGACTTACAGGTTGTGCGTTTGCTCCTTTGCCAGCAGTCAATTGCCCAATGGATTTCCTGATTTGTCTCCGCATGTCTCCCAACTTGCCCTTTAATGGATTCCCAGGTTGTTTCGACAGGGCTTCGACGTCCTTTCGCAGCTTCTTGAGGGCTTGGTGTATCTGGGTGTACCTGTCAACGATTGGTTGAGCTGGCGTTGGTGCAGCCGCGGCGGGTTGAACTGCGGGCTTCGGAGCTGGAGGTGCTGCGGGCTTCGAGAGGAATCCATTGGATTGGGTTGACGGCGTAGCAGCGACCTGTGCGGGTGCTGATGAAGGTGCTGCAGGAGGTGCCTTTACGGCGGAGAGAGCTGATGTCGGAGCGGTTGTCAAGGGAGCTGGCTTTGGCGCGGCCAGCGGTGCAGCAGCGGGCTCGGCATTCGCCGCTGTTGTGCCATTGATCTGAGGTTCTTGTGACTTCTTCGGCTCCGGCTTGGGCGGTGCAGGTTCGGGTTCGGGAGGGAGTTGAGGAATCTGCTTGGCCTTGAGCTCTCTCAGTCTCTCTTGCTCGGCGCGCACTGCTGCTTCTGCCTTGAGGCGATCTTCTTCCTCTTTTTGTAGCTGCGCTATCCTCCGCTGCTCAGCTTCCAGTCTTTGCTTCTCCTCCTGCAATTGGTGGACCTCATAGACCCTCAAAGCGGCGAGGCGAACACGCTCGTGCTCGAGCTGGGCGGCGGCGAGAGCATCGCGATGGCTCAGCTCCGAGTTACGATTCTCGGAGAGGAAGTCTGCGGTGAAGCCTCGTTCGGGGCTCGACTTGATGTTGCTATTGTGCTGGCTTCTCCGCGAAGGAGAAGAGTGCGCCATGGTTGGTCGCACAGTTGGCTACCAATGGCCTCGGTGGTGTGGTCGTAGGTGGGAGTTGAGACCGGGCCCTACGGCATCGGGCGGTGGGGTCAGGCGCGGGATGCAAAATTGCACCGACAACCGACAGAAACAAAATCAACAAAACCAAGGACCAAACACACCAACAAACGGCCGATCAGAAAAAGAGTGACGTCCGCGAGTGGGCGGTTGGATGGGGAAGGCAAGGCTCGGGCGATCTCTAAGAGAGTCCAGACGAGGCTGTGCTTCTCGAGCTCTTCGGGGCCGTTTGGGTCGAGTGGTGTCGTCAAGCGGACAAGGTATTGGTTGACGGACGGTAGGTACGCAGCAGAAGGCGTAGGAACTGTCGAGTTCAGGTTGGGCGTGGCGTTGGTGTGGAGCAACGAAAAATAATACGATGTATCAGGCGCGCTTTGATGTGGGATAATGCTACCGTTCGCGGCGGCCTGGGGCTCTTTGAGGTGAATTTGGAGGGGCCTGTTGCTGAGCTGTGGGAAAAAGGCGACGACCCTTGCTGCACTGTCACCCTGGACCTGTGTTGCTGCTTGCAGCTCTACCCTTTTTGATCCATGGGGGTGGGAGAGCAGACGAGCAGACTAGAGTGATAGAGCAGCAGTCAGCAGAGCAGCCAAAAAAGCAGCAGCCGGCCAGACCTGAGAAAAAAGAAGAGACGTCGCCGTGGTCGCAACCCAGGTGGGCGGGCTCTTGGGAAGCTGGATGGACGAATGATGACTCTGGATTCCGGCAGAATGCGGCATAGCGTCCCCGCTGGTTGGTCGGACCGCAAGTGGGGTCTTAGCCCGAACACGGGCGGTCGGATTTACTGCCGGGCGGTCAAGACCTAAGTACGAACTTCCCCGGCCTCTGCAGCGTTACCTATCCGTACAATTAGGTACCTAGGTACACAAAGTGCATTCATACCTCACTCAACATGAACAAATGTCAGTATTCTGCCATGTCGTTGAGATTCTGCAACTGAAGTCGGGCCCGGCCCAAGTTTCCAACTGGGGAGTCGGCCCAAGTTTGGATCTGGCCCATCTCGCCTTGGCTTTCCCTCTCGGTTTTGTTGACCTGACAAATGAAAACCGGCAACAGCAGACACGACCGTAGACTGGACGGAGTGTCTGAGGGCTGGGCATGACGGGGAAGAGAATCTTCAACCTAGTATTCGTACCGATACCTGCTCAGATAGAGTGTGTGATGCCATTGAGGAGAAATCTTGTCAGGGAGGTACGTAGTGAACTCCACCGTTGCACCGGGGGGAACATGTCAATCACAGCTCCGGATGAATGATGACTGAGGGATGCTGCCATGCTGCCTTTGCCCGGAGCTTCCTGGTGCTCACGGCTGGGGGACCAGAGCAGAGCAGAGCAACGCAACGCAACGCAACGCAACGCAACGCAACGCAACGCAACGACAGGAGAGCTTGCTGCAGCCTGCAAGCCTCGCTCAGGTATCCATTCGTACGGCGTACGGTACGGCGTAGGGGTTCTGTTGTTAATGTGGTGTCCAACGATGCGGTACCCATCCGGAAACACTGGCGTATTCCTGTTTCCCCCCTTGACGTGAGCCCTGCATTTGGCTTGCCCACCGCGCAGCCCCCCCCCCCCCCGTAGACGCCAATGTACCTAGCAAGTAGCCGCCGCTCGCCGGCCGCTGACCATCCTGTTGCCCCGAGGTACGAAGCCAAGGTTCCTGACTTGCTGATCCTAGGTATCTCGTTTGTGCTAGCAGCTGTATGCCTACATAAGGTAAGGCAATGAAGGTAGTCATACTGTTGACTGTGTCAGTAGTCAGTGCCAGTGTGCGAGACTCAAAGGCTGCAGGAGACGGAACTTGGCGGACGTCCCAGTCCCAGTTCCAGCCTAGCCCTCGAGAGACTCGAGACTACGCAGTAGAGACTGAGAGTCAGAGAGTCAACCCCCTCGGCTCGCTCCTTGTCCACCTACGTAAGGTGTCTGGGACGACGACTCTGGTGCGGGTGAGATGGGCGACAGGTCAAAGTCAGGGTGGTGGACTACGGCAAGGTACTGATCAACAAAGTATCCGAGCGGCTAACCTGTTACCTGTCCTCGAACCCGGAAGCCCTGACCTGGTTCTGGCTCTGTCTCTGGGCCTGGCGTGCAGCGTAGGTGCGGCGTGGGCTCTCCCCACCCGCGTCGAGACCTGACTGACTGGAGACGTCTGACTGAGTCTTGTTACCTTAGGGATGTACTCTTGTACGGAGTATCCGCCACAAGGTACAAAATACTTGACCCCAAGTCAGGCTCATTCGGGGCCACGGGGGACAGGTACTTCCTTGCTTACCTATCCGCCCCTAGAGTGCTATGTTTGGGGACAAGCCGTCGGCCATGTACCTCTAGCTTGGGGTAAGGTACCTACAGATACCTGGTCTGGATTTTATCGTCACCTCGACTTTTTGGGGCATTTCCAAGATGGGCTGGTTGAGACAGCTACGAATGAGACCATTGGATGGCATTGCGAAAAGAGCTTGAGGTACGAATGATGCATTTCGAATTCAGTTGTGAAGGAAGGGATGTGTTAGCAGAAACAATGAGTGTCCAGCAGGAGTGCACAAGCTTCTGCTGCAGACAAGATCAAAACCAAGCAGCAATCAACCTGCACCACCATCGTCATCATCATAATCGCCGTGTCTCCCGCCTGCCTACGTAAGAAACTTGGACTACCTTGCCTAAGATACGACCTATTCGTCTCCCTACAGGGCCGCCATGTGTGCTATTGCCTTCTGGTGATTCACTAGCGCACCGTGTACCTTGTCTTCCACCAGCGGCTCAGCTTCCAGTGCCAATTGTGCTCATGGGAGGTGTGATTCGTACCTACCCTATGGTGGGAAAGTATTCATTCGCATGGTGAGGTAAGGTAGGTATCTAGGTACTTTCACACTTACCTTACCTTAGCTACGGGACTGGCCCGGTGTCTTGAGTCTTCCCACCAGGCGGGCCGGCTCTTGCTGCACCTACCTGTCCCTCCTCCACCGGGGCGGGTGCTGCTGCTGCTACTGGTGCCTTGCTCCTCCTCATCCTCCTCCTCGCTCGCTCTCTCTCCTCAGGTCTGCTCCCCCCCCTCCCCACTCCACACCCCCCAACCCGACTCGCCTTTCGCAACAAACCCCCCGTCAGTCTCTCCCAGAGAGGACATTCCCATCCTGCCTCATCTTCTTCTTCACGTCTTGTCTGCCTCATCCTTTTTTTCCCACCTCAACCATCACTTCGCACACTCCTTGCGAGCTCCTTTCCCTTTCACCTCGCTCCGTCTCGCCAGACATCCAATCCCCTCCTCCCAATCACTCCCCCAATCCATCCCATTTACAATCCCTCATCGATCGATCAGACAAACAAGACCTACCTTCCTTGAACCAAAAGCAACCACGTCCACAAATCCAAAAGACCTACCAAGAGCCCAAAACCACATCCATCCCAGTTCTCCACTGTCTTTAGTCCGCAAACTACATACGTCAATACCTTACGTGCCACATCATCCCACAAAGCTTCATCGACGCCTACGCCGACCACTCGGTATCCGACGCTATCAATCCTACCCCCATCCGTCCTTTATACTACCGACGCACTTGACGTGCATTACAAGATACAAAAAAAAAAGCCAATCTTTCATCTGCCTGACTGCCCATCATGGAGCAGCAGCAGCAACAACAGCAGCAGCAGCCGCCGCAGCAGCCAACCGGCGGCGTCCCAGGCCCAACCGGCCGACGGCTTCACATTGCGCACAGGAGAAGCCCTTCCGAGCTGACTCCATTGATGAGCATGTTTGCCAACCCGGGTAGTACGTTGATGAGCATCTCCATCCATCCTTTCCATCATCTTCACACGTGAGCTTGCAGCTCCTACGCGATGCCCCCGACCCCTCGACCCCTCGTCACCCGTTTCATCATGCCAAATTGAACCTCGATACTGACAATGAGTCTTGCTTTGCAGTGGAACAGCTGGCTATTCAGCAGCAGATTGAGCTTTTGCAGCAACAGCAGCAACAGATCCAAGCTACGCAGCAACAATACATGAACATGGGAATGATGCCCCCACGCAACAGCTCGGCCCAGGCGGTGCTTTCAATCCCCTGCAGCCCGGCATGGCTCCCCAGGGCGCCTTCCAGTTTCCCCAGCAGATTCCGCAGCAGAATGTCTCCATGGGCGGTCCTCCGACCCAGCCAATGTCACATCGCCGTAATCAGTCGGCACTCCCCAACATGGGAATGGGTCCTCCTCCCGCCCCCTCCTCTGGTGCATCCGGCACGAACTTCAATGATGCCTCCGGCGCCGGTCCCGGCAGGGAAAACTCCGGTGGCCGTGGCGGTCGTGGTGGTGGTGCCGGCGGCGGTGGACACCAGCGACGTCACTCTTTGGCGCTTGCCGACGCGAAGAAGGCGGCAGAAATCGCACAGCAGAAGCGCACGACATCCGGCTTCTCCTTCCCCATGTCCCCCTCCACCGAGGCCAGCGCTGAGGGTGGTGCCTCCGCCCCCGGCCCCGCTCCGACTCAACCCGAGGCTCCGATTGCTCAGGGCACCAGTGCCGGCCGTGGGCGTGGTGGCCATGGTCGCAGCCAGAGCATGGCTGTGAACGGTCGCGGCGGCGCCGCTGGTCGCGGTGGCTTCTCTGGTGATGCCAGCCAGAATGACTTTGGTCGCCGCGGAAGCCAGACTGGCGGCGGCGGTCACGCCAGAACCGGCTCTCGCAACTTTGACGGAAACTGGCGCAACCAGGGTGCTAACCAGGGCCAGGAGCAGGGCGGCTTCCAGCCGGGCCACCGCACTCGTGGTTCCGTAAACCAGTCCATCTCCAACATCGGCGCATTCCAATACCCCGGTCAGCCTCAACTTATGCAGATGCCCGGCAACATGCTCCCCATGGGTATGTACCCGGGCCAGCAGCTGAACCCCATGCAGATCCAGCAACTGCAGGCCCTTCAGGCTGCCCAGATGGGCGGCCAGCAATTCGTTGGCCTTCAGGGCGGCCAGCATGGTGGCCAGCTTGGCGGAAACCAGCAGCAGCAACAGCAGAGAAAGACCCTCTTCACTCCTTACCTCCCCCAGGCCACTCTTCCGGCTCTTCTCGGCGATGGACAGCTCGTGTCTGGTATTCTTCGCGTGAACAAGAAGAACCGCAGCGACGCCTATGTTTCCACTCAGGACGGCTTGCTCGACGCTGATATCTTTATTTGCGGTAGCAAGGATCGCAACCGTGCCCTCGAGGGTGACTTGGTTGCCGTTGAGCTTTTGGATGTTGATGAAGTTTGGTCCCAGAAGCGCGAGAAGGAAGAGAAGAAGAAGCGCAAGGACATCACCGACACCCGTTCTGGATCCACCAACGGACAGAACCAGTCATCCGGTAACAACGATGACAACACGCAGCAGGAGGGCGGCATTCGCCGTCGCGGCAGTCTGCGCCAGCGCCCCACTCAGAAGAAGAACGACGATGTCGAGGTTGAGGGTCAAAGCCTGCTTCTCGTCGAGGAGGAGGAAATCAACGATGAGGCCAAGCCCTTGTACGCAGGTCACATTGTGGCTGTCGTTGAACGTGTAGCTGGTCAAATGTTCTCAGGCAACCTCGGTCTGCTCCGTCCCAGCAGCCAGGCTACGAAGGAGAAGCAGGAAGCGGAGAGAGCCGCCAGAGATGGAGGCAACAACCGCCACCACGACAACCGTTCGCAGGAGAAGCCCAAGATTGTTTGGTTCAAGCCTACGGACAAGCGCGTCCCGCTCATTGCCATTCCGACTGAGCAGGCGCCGCGCGATTTCGTCGAGAAGCACCAGGATTACGCTGATCGCATCTTCGTTGCCTGCATTAAGCGTTGGCCGATCACCTCTCTGCATCCCTTCGGCACCCTTGTCGAGCAGTTGGGCCGCATGGGCGACCTTAAGGTGGAGACCGACGCTCTGCTGCGCGACAACAACTTTTCTTCCGATGAGTTCTCCGAGGCTGTGCTGCGCAGCGTTGGTCTTCAGGACTGGTCTCTCGCCAAGGAAGAGGAGGCTGCCCTGGCTGCTCGCCGGGACTTCCGTGATGAGAAGGTTGTTACGCTCGACCTCAACGGTTCTCCCGAGCTTGCCAATGCCATCCACATCAAGACTCAACCCGATGGCAAGATTGACATTGGTATTCACATTCCTGATGTCACTCACTTCGTCAAGCCCAACTCGCTTGTCGACCGCGAAGCCAAGAAGCGCGGCACCGCCGTTCACTTGGTTAACCGCACTTGTGCGCTCCTTCCTCCCAAGATTGGTGGAGAGGTATGCTCTTTGGCTCCTGGCGAAGAGCGTCTGGCTGTCAGTGTTCTCTTCCGTGTCAACCCCCACAACGGCTCTGTTGCCGAGGGAGACACTTGGATCGGTAAGAGTATCATCAAGAGCACTGCCAAGATCACTATTGAGGAGATTGACTCGGCTCTGAACGGCCAGGCCGACTGGAAGCACGAGTCTCTTCAGCTGAAGGATGTCCAGATTCTTAACGTAAGTTCCACAGAAACCCGCATCCGAATTGCCCTAACATTATCTAGGCTGTCGCTCAAAAGTTCACCGAGGCCCGTCTTGGTGCTGGCGGTGAGCCTATTGCGCCCCTGAGGCTCCTGCAGCAACTCGATGATGAGAACATTCCCATCAAGCACAACATCTTCGATTCTACCCCTGCCACTGAGCTCGTCGAGGAGCTTATGCACAAGGCCAACACTTACGTTGCCCAGCGTCTCGCCCAGGCTCTGCCTGAGAAGGCTCTTCTGCGCCGACAAGGTCCCCCCAATGCTCGTCGTCTTCAGACCTTTGCCGATCGCATGAACGCCCTCGGCTACGAGGTTGAGACTTCCGGCAGCGGCAGCATGCACAATAGCCTTTTCAAGGTTGACGACGCTGATATCCGCAAGGGAATGGAGACGCTTGTCCTCAAGTCTATGCAACGTGCCAAGTACTTCATTGCCGGCAAGACTGCTAAGCAGCTGTGGCCCCACTATGCCCTTAACTTGCCTCTCTACACTCATTTCACTAGTCCCACCCGGCGCTACGCCGACATCATCGTCCACCGACAACTCGAGTCTATTCTCTCTGAGGGCAAGATCGAGTACACGGAGGAATTGGAGAGCCTTGTCAAGACCATTGAGTCTTGCAACACCAAGAAGGACTCCGCACAGAATGCTCAAGAGCAGAGCATTCACATTGAGTCCTGCCGTGAGATGGACAAGAAGCGCCAGCAAGTCAATGGCGATCTCATCACGGAGGGCATCGTCCTCTGCGTGTACGAGTCGGCCTTTGACGTTCTCATTCCCGAATGGGGCTTTGAGAAGCGGGTGCACTGCGATCAGTTGCCCCTCAAGAAGGCCGAATTCAGAAAGGAGAAGAGAGTCCTCGAGCTCTACTGGGAGAAGGGCGTGCCAAGCTCCGCCTACGTACCGGAGGACGAGCGCCCCAAGGCTGCTGCGTCTGTAAGAAACGCCAACGCGGCTGCTGCTGCTCGTCAAGCGGAAGCTGCCGAGCGTGCCAAGAAGGAGAGAGAGGAGGCTGCGCGCAAGCAGACCGAGACGGGCACCATCTCCACTGATGACGTCGATGCCCTCTTTGACGACGATGATGACAATGCGTCGGACATTACTGAGGCCATGGCTGGAGCTTCGTTGGCCGAAAGACCCACACAGAGCGTTCCCGGCTCCCCGACCCGCTCCGATGCCAAGCCTCTGCAACGCACCAGGTCCGACTCCAAGGTTCCTGCGCCCGAGGCCCCCGAGGCCCGCCTGTCGAACAAGGAGAAGTACCTCAAGCTTTTCAAGCTGCGTGAGGAGGGAGGAGAGTACATTCAGGACGTCACGGAGATGAGCAGGGTTCCTGTGATTCTCAAGACGGATCTGTCCAAGAGCCCACCGTAAGTTTCCCACCATCTATCAAAGCCTGGGGACATGTGCTAATTCAAAGTAGTTGCTTGACCATTCGGTCTTTGAACCCCTATGCTCTGTAAAAAGGAGTTGTCTTGACATTACCTATCCCGTGTGGGGCACGGTATGATGATCATTTCCAAGAGACTAACGGGCACATTGTGCTTTTTCGTCCACTAAGATGCATCATGAGTGGTGTAGAAAAAGTTTGGGTGAGAAGAGAGATGATACATTGCGATTGGGAAGGGAGTAATAGCCAGTATATCTTCGTCCCTGGATGAGTCATTTAGCACAATAAGCCTGAAGTCTGAAGTCGAGAGGAGGGCGGTGTATGAAATAGTAGAGATAGCGCCCATGAGTTAGTAAAAATGGTACATCCAATTGCACACACTATGAAGCGCAACCAGTGCCTTGAAGACTGAAGGATTGCCCAGACACTTTTGAAAGCTGCGATTGGCCAGCCAGGCATGTGGAGAGGCACAGCGTCTGCAGACGTCTCCCACGCGGAGCGAGCAGGGCTATCCTTGCGCGGCGTTGCAGAGTCGGCGGGTTGGACTCCTGTGGTGCGTGGGTTCCAGGGGAGGAACTTCGGTAGAGTTTCAGCTGCGGTGGTTGACAAGAGAGCCGGTTTGGAAAATTGACGTGATGACTTTATGCCGGTGATCGGGGGGGTGTGTGGGGACAACAACACCCACCCTACAGGCTTACACCAAAGGAAAGACGCGTGGGAATGGGCTTCAGAGTTCTTCTTGGGTTCTAAGTGCACCGGAGATACGGGATCGTGAAGTGTCGTGAGTAAGAAAAGGACCAATACGACCTTGCTTGGTGTGCAGGAGGCCGCCGTTGGGGACGTACTCCGTAGATTGTTCAATGTCTTGGTTTACTATGTAAAGACTACGATCAAGAAATACTTTGACCCGGTCACCCATTTCCATCAGGAGCAAATGTTTTAAGCAAGTATCTTTGCGATCACGATGCTATTCGCAGGTTGGGAGGAAAACGTCTGCGTCCATCGCCAAAGACGGGCTTGTCGAAGGGGCGGCACAGCAAGTCTCGTAACAATCGTGGATTTCTTGGCACGGAGAAACTTCCCGTCTTCACAGGGACCTGACCTTTTGTGACTTATAAAAAAAAGAAAAGATTCGTAGGAGACGCGATAGTATGAGTAGGGAAAACTTGGGCAAGGTTTCTAATCCGACCTTACGGCGCAAGTTTGTGGGAGCAAAGGGTGAAATGGAAGCATTATAAGCCCGATGACGAGGGAACCCCTGGCCCTCTCCGTGTTAAACTCCTGGTTATGGTTGTATTTCAAACCCCCTCTCCGAGTTCCACGACGGGGGATCTGCAACGAGTCCAAAGTTCAGATTACCCGATGTCCTGTGAGATCTGCGCGGCGATCGCCAGGGGCGCGATGGTGGGAGGCGAGGGACGGAAGACTTAAGTTTTTCGTCGGATTGAAGCAGCATGGCTCAGCTTGATCGTCGTCTTCACATAGATAGAGTGGGAGATCTTTTTTTTTTGGCAAGCCGTTGGATAAGAAAAGATGCGGACTCGCCAAGCCCGGCTCGCGTAGGATCGAGAGACCGGAGCCGTTGTCGACCGCTGCTTGACATTTCCGGGTACCCGACATTCCTTCTTCAGGCACTGCCCACAGACCTTTGGCATATTGGCATTGGAGGCGCAGCGCGCTACTTACCGAAAAGCCGGAACCTGACGAGAGTTGCTTCTGCTGTTTCTCTCCGAGCAGGACGTGGCCCAAACGGCTGCGGGGCAAAGGAGAAAAAGTTGTTTTCAAAGGCTTGAACGGGACGCTTAGCTGTCCGAAGACGAGTCGGCGAGTGGGATAATCCACAAAATGGTACTGCGCCCGACACGTAGTGTAGAGAGGCAGACAGGCGACGACGAAGGGGTTGCGTTTGTGTCAGGCGCGCGCATATGGTGTACGCTAGCAAACGATGCTGGAGTCATGATGTCGTACTGGTTGAAGTAGGGCAAACTGGAGCCAGTCTTCGAGTTTCGGGTGTGCTTGCGAAAGGGGCGGCTTTTCGGAGTTTTTTTTTCTCTCTGGCGGGTGGAGATGGGTGATGAGAAGGACTGGAGGTAAGAGATGATGAGCGTGGCGGTCGTGGCTCCCATACGACTCGGGTCACGGGTAGACGGAACGAAAGCCTGCTCGAGTTGGCCTAGACAGGCCCCCTGGGCAACAGAGAGATGAGATGGGTTCCCTACTCTTTGCTCACATATGGCGAGTTGGGACGAAAAGAATGATTTTGAGCCTCCAAAGGCTTTTGAAACGGTTTGCAAGCCCTGCAAGGTCTTGGCTTGCCGAAACGAGCCGTGGAAGAACGGGTCTGGCTATGTGGTTAGCGACCATCCGGTGTCGAGTCGTTGGGATGGACTGAAAGAAAAGAAGAAGATTGAACTGAGTAGAAGGTGAGGCTTGGATGCCGTGGCCTGATAGAAGGTCGATGTGGCTAGAGAGCATATTTTGGCCCAGCTATTGGACGCAGCCGAGTAAAATTTCCGAGCCCGATGTTGTCTACACATGCGAGGAACACTGGATGTCTTCGTCCCCACCGAAGCAGCCCGCGGGCAGCTCGAGGTGTTCCATTGCCGATAAGCTTAAGTGGCTAGTGTATTGAGGCGGTTTGGAATTAGGACCAGGCCGGAAAACAGGCTGTCCATGGAGTGACGAGGTCAGTGCTTTGGTTGCAGAGCCGTCCTCGTGTAGCAGGTCTCGACAGTGGGATGGCCGTTTACTAGTGGGCTGCGAGGAGCTTGATGGCGTTAGGCTAGGTGGGAGGCTAGATCCGGGGTTGCTTTGCGGTCGTTTCCAAGAAAGCCAGATCACGAGTACATGTTGGTGGTCATTCGTTTCCCAAGGTCTAGCATGGCCTAGTCAAACTAGAAAGCTAGACACCCTCGAGTCAGCCCAACGACCAACCTAGCTCTAAGATTCCCGTAGAGGACGCCTAGTAGGCCGGTCGAGGCCAGTGCTCTGGCTGTCAAGATCACGAATTGCGATTGACGATGCAAGACAGATAACCTCTGGCAGCCAGGGCTCGCAGATCATGGCTCTAGACCAACGGTGCGTGACACCCTTGGCAGGAGGCGACAGGAGGATCTGAAGTCCTTAATCATTTATCACACAATTGGCAACGTCAGAAAGGCGTCGATCGCAGTGGAAATGAGCATCGTCTCCGTGTCGCAGGATAGCGGCGGTATACGACGCCGGGGAGGGTTGAGTACATGGCAGCAGCCTTGCCCAGTAATGCGAGCAGTCGGATGGATGGATTAGTTGTGCTTGATTGTCTGGCCTCGGCGGTGTGGGATGGACGGAAACAAGAGACCGGCGTAGGAAGTTGAAGAAAGGCGGCTCAGAAAGCGAGGGTTGAGGCAATGGAAAGAGACGTTACCGAGAGAACGTTCCTGCAGATGGCCCAGTACGTACCCGCGCTAAGCCCAGCGAGGTTCTGCCGGGAAAGACTCCACCCGGACGGCGACCAATCAATAATCGCGGCAGGAGCCAGTGACAGAGTGGTCCGGGCGTTCACGGACCGGGGTTTCTGACGTGGGAGACGTATCACATTGGTTTCGGTCGACGGCCCGTCCGTGACCCGGGTCAACGTCTAGTCTTGGCTGGGGGTCACGATGCAACAAAGTTGGCTCGGCTGCAATGCCAAAACAGTGGCGAGCGAGGGGGCCTTCAGGTACGTTTACCCTCTTGACCTCCACGATAGCCCTTAGAAACCTCTATTTCTCTTCCCTTCCCCCCCCCCCAAGGACTCCCGGTGGGGTCACCGCCCGCAGGACCCTTGCATTACACAACAAAGTCATCGGGTAAAAAAGAAGCGCAAAAACAAGCTCGGCAGGGGGTCGCTGCAGCATCTGGAAACGGGCTTCATCCCAATCTAAGGAGGTGATCAAGTCCCTTGCCCAATACCAGTTGGCCCCTCTTTTTAATGATTTGTGTTGTCTGATTGGTGTCTTGAGCCCTCGAGTCTCTGCCGATTCGTCGAGCTTGTTTGGACCGCAGCGAAACGAAACATGCAGAGAGTACTCCGTAGCCCTTACTGCTGCACCTGCCCACCAGTGCCCACGCTGCTTGGTCTCGCCTCTGCCTCGTTTACGGACTACTCGCACTCACACTCTCCTTTGCTTCGTAAGGTACCTGGGGCTTTCCGAAGGACGAGGCAAGCCTCGCTGCCATCTGAACTTTCCACCATCTTGCCCAACCATGCACCCCCCTTGACGCCATTGGCAAGGGGTACCATCCACCACTTGACTTGGTTTGCCCGCTAGATCCCCCTTCCCGTCTTCCATGATACGCACCGCATGCGCGCACACACACGCTTCTTCCAGGCAAGCGCTGCAGTTGTTGCGGCTTGCGGCCTACCCTAGACTCCTCCCCCTAGTATGGATAAGATGCAAACTCCTGCTTACAGTACCCATGTACCCCTGCCGGGTCTGAAGCTTTGTGGTCGAGCGTAATCTTGTTACCCGCATTGTGGGCTCCCGTGTGAACCGACGACGGAAAGAAAGCTAGCCGCAGACAATCCCCAGCAAGGACCCAAGTCGATCCGACCCCTCCCGAGTAGCAGAACATGAGAAAGGCCATGCGTGTGTGGGCGGCGACATACCTTACGCCATGGGAGAGCGGCAAGATACCTACCTTACTGAGGCTAAAGTGAACCTTCTTTATTGCTCGCTTGTTTCCCACCTTCATTGCTCTACTCCCGCCCCTTCTCTTCTTTTCTCTCCATCCCGTTCACTGTGTGTCAATTTCTTCAAACTTCCAAAAGCGCTGGTCTGCTTTCCTGGTCCACCGGTTTTGCTTATACTTTCCTTTCCCTTCGAGACCTCCTACGACCCTGTCATTCCCTCGGACGACATTCTTAATACCTCTTTCTAATCTTTCGCTTCATCGACCGTCCCAGGTGGCACCGATCGACAACAATCTTATATCCGAATTTCTGTCCCGGGAGAACAGCCGATCGAAAAGGAAAAAAAAGTCTAGGGCGAGCAAAGCTGCAATCACACAACCTACCTTAATCAACCATGCCTTCCACAATGAAGTCCGTTCTC